CCGTGATCTTCGAGCCAGATTCTCATGAAGTGGGAGAATGTCCCCATCGATCCCCAGCGTCAGGTACAATCACTCCAACCATCCATGATTCATTAACACCCCTAAGTTTGTTGCACAGGCTGTCATTTCCTAGTACAAGAGGAGAAACCAAATGACCTCGGGCCATATCATTATGGTGTTACGATACGATGGCCAATAGTGTACGCTATTTGCGAATGAAATTTCTCTCAAGACACCTTGGTTTTTGCCATTTCTGTTTTTAAAAATGGACATACCAGTGACTTAGAGCATTTTATGCAAGCATCCTATCTTTGTGCAAGGTGGCCCGACCATTGACAGGCTATCCTTTCGCTGTGACTTCCCGTTTTTTTCCCTTTTTCTTTTTCTTTCTTTCTTTCTTTTTTTCTTTTTTCTTTTTTTTTTGGACACGCGTAAAATGCCAGGGTAGCATTCACTCCAATGGGCTTGCTCGCATGCATCCACGCATCAGAGGTGTGTCCCTCAGGACACTGGGCCAAACTATTAGGACTTTACTAAAATCCTGTTACGGCCAAGCCTTCCAACCAGCCCTGACCTTGCCAATTTTACCGGAACGCTTCCTGGTTACTAGAGAATCAGACTGGAGGGTATATTGGATCAACCTTCTTTGTGTTCTTTGACCTTGGATACTGCTTCATGTGCAATTATGGATTTGATGTTGGTGTTTGGTGAGCCTGAAGAATGAAAACCAGTGCAGGAACTGGTTTTCCCATCCCTTATTGGTCACAACGTGTGCAGACGTCGCAATGACACCCATGTGGTTTTGCAAAAAGATTCCCCATGACGGTTGAACTGATCGACTACTGACTGTGAAAAGGGTGATTCTAAGTTCCCCTTCCCTCTAGCCAACCCCCATCATCGGTATTATACGTAATGCTTATACGTTGTTATGCATACTTCCAATGTGATTACACGCATGTCTAGGAAGAAACATACACAGCGCATTTGGCGCCCATTCTCTTCTCCCAAAGCCTTTCCGTCTCATCAACGGCTCCAACATGTTAGTCTGGGAATTCCAACTCAAACTACCTTTCTATATCATCTCCGCCTAGCATTCACAGTTCCCAAAACCCAATTTTAGGTTCTGTGGCAGTATGTATACAGGATACATTCCCGAATTTATTCTATTCCTTAACCCTTGCTGCCAATGGATATTAATTTAGCAGACATAACATAACCAACACTCAGAACAAACTTTGACCAAGACGATAGCATAAAATTGCCTGCACTGGGCTCCATTCATCATACACTTGTAATGATCAGTATGAAATGATTGGGCACGAGACCTGGTAGTGTCAGAAATGCCTCCTGGTGGATAACTCCGACCATTCAATTCAACCCACAGCCGTTGGCACAGGGGCAAAAAGAGACCAGGGCAGAAATTGCCATCTTAGAGCTAATTTCTGGGTGACTTATATTTGCAACAACTTCTTCTCCTTCATTTTGCAGATTCGTTATTTATTTTGAACATTTATAAATGACGTCTAACTGCTTCCTTGGGATGGCGATGATTGCGATAAAGTGATGATGTGGCAATGATGATTATTACGACCATTGAAAAGGATGATAGTTCAACAACTCGATTCATCTTTTCATTCTCTGAAGCAGGGAGGCAGCAATCGTTGATTTTTAAAAAAAATTTTAGCCGGCTTCTTTGAAGAAACTTGCGTTGGGTAATAGCACTTTAGGACTGGCCTTCTTACACCAATGGATAATAAAGTCGTCCGCTTTATCCGGATTTTTAAGAGAATTGATAAAGCGAAGGGGAAGAGACAGGCATCCGTATGTATCTGACATCCCCGTTGATCATTATGCTTTCAAAATGACATCTTTTTCTTTTATTTTTCTCTCTCTGATCTCTTCCACTACATACCCTGTTTCCTCTCAAGTGTTCATTGCAATTTTGTTGTGCATCCCATTCAATCATGACTTAATGCTTTGGACGGCCGGAAAAGTACCGGGAGCTAATTCTTATGGATATTTCTCTTAGTTTTCCTGAAAAGCCAGAAAATCTTAGGCCATTGGATAGCCAACCAGGAAACAATTTCTACCCCGGAGCCCTGCTTTACTTTTCCTTTTTTTCTTCCAGGAGACCCCCCTTACAAGCTTTCAAATGAGAACCGCCTAACACCAGATAACATCCATGGCTCGCTATGCTTTGACCTATGATTATTGATTGACTTCCTGCCAGACGAGTGTGCCGTAACCGCAATGTGTGACATGCATCACTAACCAGCGATCCGTCTCCCTTGAGTTCCCTTCTTGAAACCACACTCAAGGATACGTGTTAAGCACAGTTTATAGACCTTCCATGATGAGAGGACATTCAGCCTGCCCGCCGGCCCCCCTTGCCCACCCCTCTTTAAAACGAGACACGAGCGGACAAGAACCGTAAAACAGAAAATGAGAGCGAAAATGGCCAATGAGTGGTCACCGCCGTCGTACTTCCTCACTGATTGACCATCAAAGCTGGAATGAACGCTACATCCAGTCGATAGAAAAACCATAGAAAAGGATCACAATGAGAGTTTGGCCCAGGGGAGAAGTCTATGGATAGGGGGTGGTCTGGCCTCTTAAATTCCCACCTCCTCTCTGAAAGTGTTGTGTGGGACCTTTCGATTTTTTCCACGGTCGTTTCGTTGCCTAAAGCTACAACAAATCGAAAAACATGCATGCTGTGTTATGGAAAGGTGGGCAATCTTATTACCAGGCTTGCCCCCAGAAGTTCTAGGAATTATGCTCATTCTTGTGTGCTTCACTAGTTCCTTTCGCATTGGCTATCCTTGACCTTTTCGTGTTAGATGTGTTTGGCAATCGGGCTATTATGTCCTATATTAGCCATCGGGAAATAGAATAGGGGAAAGCGTTACAAAAAGCCCGGGGGGATATGTGATGTTAGGATCTGGGGGAGTATGCAGCTATGGGAATTGATCCGGACCTTCGTGAGGCGGCAAGGAAAACTACGAGAAATCTTATCGAGTGATCCGTCGGAGCTAAGAGGTTGAATCGGGAAGAGGCTTGTATACTTGCGAGTGTGGCGGGAAATCTCAAAACCGTTGAGATTATGGATATGCCGAATTACGCGGTTACTATGTCTTTGCCCTTGTATGTATTTGTATGGAGAGCGTGCCACCCCCTTTTCGTTTGAATTAGTCATTTTAAGGGGTATGCTCTCTCGTCCACCCAGATTCCATTTCTTTCATTTATTTATATCACTGTAGCAAATTGATATTACCCATCTCTCCATGTCCTACTGTATGAAATGGTATTAGGCTGTTCATACATTCCTCCATCTATTTATTGATCGCAGATTTTTCTTCTAGGTCAGCATTGATATGGACATTAGATGACCAAACCCAAGGGCATGAGCACCCGAACCAGCCTAGAATGAATGGTAATAATGTCTCCTTTACCTCTGAGATCCTGAACTGGTCCACCATCTGTTGCGAACCACATACAGTTTCGCGACACGCGGGTTTCATTGGACCACAAAAAGCACCAACGAGGGTTTGTTTTGCAAGGAAAATTGGGTTGGACAATTTGAACAAGGTTGACTACCTTCCTTGGTAAGTACTGAGATCCATAGTTATAAAAGTTTTATTCTCGGATGCGTGACTTGTCTTACCGCGATTTGAAAATTATGGAATGCTCCGCAGACCGTGAACGTTCTCCGATTTTGGATCTCCCGTAGCTGGATGAAAAATTGAATCTGGTGCATGTGAGAAGTATATTTCTCCCCATGTTCCGCAAATTCTCCTTTACTTGTCTACTAGCTTCCGCAATACCCAGGTTATGCCTTTCAGAACAATCCGGGCCGGTACAACACTTTCTGTGTTTGTTGATCAAGCACATAAGCGCTGTGGAATAGTTGCATAACATGACCATATCTAGCTTTGTAGCAGAGCATATCCAGCAGGTAGCAAGATTTTTATTAGTGACGCCTTATCAAATACCTCTCACACAACTCGAAATTTTCGTTACAACATGCTGTCTGGGGTGAGCCTGGTATCACGTGGCAAGTGCTCTGAAGCATCAGGTTTGAGATCCGGAGTTCCTCTCTATTCAGAGGGTGAATTGGATATGTTCGCTATTTAAAAAATATCTTGGGAAAAATCGAGCAGTGAGTGAAGCCCGATTCCAGGGAGTTATAATATGTCTTGTCATGATCTCGAATGTTCCAGATGCTGGGGCAATGGGTTGCGACGTAGCGAGGTTTGGCGGGGGATTAACTAAAATGAAAATCGTCGCCCTTCATGTCCTCTTGCGATATGTGCCAAATATTGTGGAACACAGAAGGCAGCCAGCTGTATCAAATATCCAGAACACTCCTTCTGAGTGCCGGATTTAAGATCTAAGATAAGCATTCAGATCTCTTTCCCCACCGTTTTGCCCTTCCATGCCTCCTGTCTGACCGTGCCCTTCAGAGTTCTGGGTCAATGAATGAATGGGTCTCATAGCTGTATCGGTGAGTAATTTGCTTTTTCAACTTCCCCACTTTCCTATCCATATGGATACGATGAGTTGATTGGCGACTGTAGTGGTTGGAGGCGCGAAGTTGTGAAAGTTGCAAGTGAATCTTAAATAAATATGGATCCGAATCGATGATGAGGTCAGAATCCAACCCGCGGTTCCACGTGACCTGCGGGTCCTCGCGCAATAGAATATTTCCGATGTGCAACTTCACGATAATCAACATATATTCGCATATCCATCTCCATCTGTACGTTATATATGCCAGCCTTCCATTTGTACCAGCTCCACGCTTTGGAACCAGTATTGGGCGTTTTCCTATGAGTTGCTACTATTTGATCAACGGAATATAACACCCTCAGCGTCATTGAGTGGCAGAGTTCCCATTATTAAACTATCACATTCTAACATTCAACACCCCGTACGAGCAGCGGAGATCTAAGACGTACATCCATCAGCTCTAGAAACCGATGGTTGCACGTTTCCAACTAATGTCCCGGGCGATTTCTCTAACACGGCGTCCTGCCGCCACATCATCATTCTCCAAATCCGTAAATACCAGAATTACTCCGTCCGCTCTCCTTAGATCCTGCGCTTCTTCCAAACCACAGCTTCCCTTCAATCTACATCAACCTCCCTTCTATCGACATCACCATGTCCAGGTCTGCACAAAGCGGCCGCAACTTCCCATTCCTTCCGCAATTTTGTCGCGGACGCGGACTTACCACTCCTCATTCCACCCAACTCCAGATCCTCCCGCGGACTTGTATACTCCTGAACAATCTGCCATTCTCTCCGCGGCCGTAGCCCATGTTCCAGAGCACGGATTTACGACTCACTCGCTCACATTAGGGGCTCGGGATACGGGGTACCTGGATGCATCATTGCAGCTATTTCCGGGTGGTGGGGAAATTGCGCTGATAACCTACTGGCTGGCTAGCAGGAGGGGAATTCTACGACGGAAAGTTGAGACCGGGGAACTCTTTGGGGGGTTTGAAGCCGAGAAAAACAGGAAATTAAGTGTGGAGGAGAAAGTGGAGCTCTTGATATTAGAAAGGTTAAGGATGAATGAAGGAATAATAGGGCATTGGCAGGATGTAAGTGAACAATAATTTTTTTGTTGTTTCTCCCCGGTGCTTCTTTGCCTCATCCCTGCCAATTCCTCAGCATTTAATGTTCCCTGTACTGGTTTCAATATCCCCTATTAACTCAAGTTTTAACTAACTCTAACAAACACAGGCTCTTGCAACCATGTCTCTGCCCTATAACATCGCCCCGTCGGTCTCTGAGTTATACAAATTATCCTCTGACATCCTCTATCTTGCCGACGACCGCTCCATCGACTCCTCTTGGTACACAAAGAGACTATCCGTTGCTACCGTGTACGCTAGTGCAGACGTCTTTATGACAGCGGACACCTCCCCGAACTTCACAGCGACGAAGGAATTTGTGGAACGGCAGCTGAGCGATGTCAACTCTCTTGTGGACTCTTTTAGTCACTTTCTGGGATACTTGGGATTTGTTGCTGGCAGTGTCATTGGGGTTGGTAGGAGCTGGGGAGTGAAGATATGAAATGAATACGCATATTTTCTGGAGCATGGGACAAAGTGGGTAAAAGCCAGCTGAAGTGGTGGATTTGGAATTTAAGACAAAATCTGTGTATTATGGTGTGAGGTAAAGTAGATGGGTCATATGGTTGACTAGATCAGTGAATTGCTCTTCCCGATTGGGGCTTTCATATCCACTGTTTTCTACATATCTGGTTGGTTCAACTGAAGACATATGGAACGAAAGGATGCAAGAGTAAAAGCTGCTGGAAGCTTCTACGAATCTTCTTGATATCACCACAAGCATTTATAGGCCTCCGCAAAGCGGCATTAAAGCGTCACAATGTTTATTGGTTCTGTAGGCGGAGGAGTGTCTTCCGCCATGTTGAATTCGCTTCAAGTCTTGATCACGTTCACGTGTATGTATGTCGATAAGAACACAAAAGTTAGAAGAAAGCGGTGATAGGGATATTGTAAAAAAATTCACGGGTGTTTGCGGGAGACATTGAAGAGGAATAAATGGTGAAAGGAGCTGGGGGAAAATTTCACATTCCTGGCATGAAATTTGCGCGGCCACGTCTAGCCAGACGTGCATATTCAGACTCCGCAGACCCACTTAGATCCACAGGCAACTTCCGATGCATCTTTGCTGTTATCTTAAATTTACGACCTTCAAACCTGCGCAGCTTCCTCACTTTGAAAAACCAACCCTCACGCTTCCCCTTGACACCGAAGAAATCGTTGTATGCGCGATAATCCGACTCAGAGGTCCACGGGATTCCCTTGGTAAGAGCAGGCCCGGAGGACCTCCTACTCGTCATTTCCCTTCCCCTTTTCTGATTGAAAATGCCGTTCAACAGTTTCTCGGTCCGCGACGAGATTGTAGCACCGTGATCCTCCATATCTTTCAAAAGGGAGTTTATCAGCGGAAGATTGTTGTGGACACGCCAATGGTAGGATATTAGCTCGTTGTAAATCTCTGTATCAGATGCTAGGAGACGGGCGACGCGTCCGCGAGCTTTGATGGAGGCATACATTTGGATCGTTATTTCTGACATTGGAAAGTGGGTGTGAAGAAGGCGGAGTGCATGGAGAAGTATTTCAGGGAAAGCGTGGAGAACAAAAGGTCTCGCCGGTATTCCGGCCGGTATATTTAGAGGATCCAAAGTTTGAGATTTACCCTTGTTTGTTGTTGATGACCGCCATTCAGATTTCCGCGAATTTTTTCGACCTGCGCGTCGTATTACAACCGCATCTTGGGGCATGGTAGAAGCGACGACTTCATCTTCGACAGAGAAAAGCTTCAGCATTGCAAATATACGTTCTTCACACACTTTCCAGATTTCAACATCGCCGCTATCACCTGCAATGCAATTGTCCAACTCAGCGATGATATTTCTGACCGCTCTGTTTGCCACTTCCTTGGCAAGCTTGCCTGCGCCAAATGCACCTATGCCCGGGACTAGCTCATCTTTATCACCAGCTGCAAACCTATATACTTTCCCTTGATATCGAATGGTTTGTTCTCCTTTTGTATTGCGATGAGGAATGTCAACTTCCTCCCAGAATTCCGGTTTGTCCATCCGTTTCCTAACTGTGTTTTCAAAGGGGATATCAATCATATGTGTGGGCACAGGTATTTCCATTGTCTGCATTCCAAGGATTTCCTCTCCATTGCGATTGGGCATGTTAGTTTTGCGCCGATTTCCGACTGTAGCCTCTTTGCTAGGAGCAAGGTCCACGAGAGAAGCAGATTTACTGGATCTAACATCTTCCGCAAACTCCGGTGGATCATCAATACACGAGGAGTTGTCTTCCTGTGCCACCTTGGCCTGCCGAGTCCTCCGTTCATTCAGTGTATTTTCCCAGGGGGGTTGCCGGAAGTTGGACAATATATCAAAGACGGAATTGGAAGATCTAGATGAATGGTTTCCCCGGGCTAAGTCTTCCGAAGCATTAGACGATCTGGGATCCTCATCATGTTGGTAGTTCGCGGATAACTTTAAATCATCGATAGCAGAAGAGAGCAGGTCCCAATTCTGATCTGTTTCATAATGCTTCCCCAGATTAGATTGCGACGAAGACTCTGATAGTCGAGAACTGCAAGTGATGTTGTGCTCTGTGTCGCTTTTCAGATCAGTTGTGGAACATGTAGTAGATTGCGGAATCGGCGACTCCACATTGTGGGATTTGAATTGAGCGGGCCGTGATTGATATGATCTTTTGGAGGTACCGCAGGGGGTACCACATGAGAGTGGAAAAGGCGGCGACTTATATCGGTAAACGGGCTTTGTCAGGGTTAGAGCATGATGCAGGAACGAAAGAAAAATGCCATCATTCTGATATACGACGAATCCCCGGTGTAGATTCCCGACCATGACTCGATCCGAGATGGCCACAAAAGCCTTTCGTTACTGAACGGCTGCTGTCCCGCAGTGGTTCCTTGTTCCTTCGTCAAACATTTGGTTGAAGGCTCAAGGGGGAAAAAAAAAATATATGACGGCAGAAGATCAAGGTTTAGATTTAAGGAGTTAATTGTCACGTGGAATTACATAACTCTTTCACTTTGCTCTGGTTATTCCAAAATAGGAATAAATTAAACAGCTTCACGTGACATCGCGCAACTCCGCGCTGAGATAATCGCGAGTCAGGAAAATTTGCGCGACGCATGCGATTTTTAAGCGCAGTAAACCACAAGACAAACCGAATCAAATTGCGCGGCATATCGGTATATCCAAGAGGAACAAGACAAGCACTTCTACTGCAGGCGGTATTTTTGACTTTATCGTCAGCACAGTTTTCTCGTTTTCAGACTCCGTACTATTTTTATTACTACTGAGCCATGACTCTTGAGGAATCCGTGCCAGAGTTGTCTGATTTCGAAAGGCAGCGCGCAGCCAACATCGCAGAGCGCGATGCGCTGTTGAAAAAGCTTACCCTTGAAGCCCAATCTTCAGGGCTATTTACTAAGGGTCCTTCTACCAAGTCCTCAAAGCCAACATCAAACAATTCCAAAAAGAAACCCGCGAAACGTGTTAAGAAAGAGAATGAAGCGCCAGTGCCACGAAGAACGTCGTCACGGCTAGCTGGATTGACTGCCAATAGTGAAATAGCAAAACGCAAAGCTGAGGAAGAATATGAAGCTCAAAAGGCGGTCGCGCAAGCAAAACGAATGCGTATCTCTGGAGATCTTAATATGGGAGATATTGTCGTTGGAGGACAGAAATGGGATAGCACCACCTTTCTAGGAACGGACGCAACTGCTCCACAGCGTTTTGCCAGAACTTTTGGTGAAGAGGACATTAAGAAAACTACAGACAAGGAGCTGAAGTCCTTGCGGGAAAAAATGAGTGGGTTGAATCTTTGGGAGCCATGGGAGCCTAATCGTAAGGGTTTTCAAGGACTCCAAACAACCGCTCACAAGGTGCTGATAACTGTAAAAAAAATATAGGAATAAAAATAACACCAGAAAGAGTATATTCGATGGCATTTCACCCCACTGAGAGCAAACCATTGGTCTTCGCAGGTGACAAGCTTGGTAATTTGGGCATATTTGACGCTTCTCAGACACCTCCTGTAAACGTGAAAACTGAAGACGACGAAGACAATGACGAAGAAGATCCGGACCCTGTAATAGCAATCATAAAACCCCATGCTCGGACAATTAGCGCAATACGAATACATTCTTCGACCCCGTCCAAACTCTACACAGCCAGCTACGACAGTTCCATTCGGGCGCTCGATCTGGAGAAATCCGTCTCGACGGAAGCGTATGCACCCGCCTCAAAATCAGACGACGAAGCAGTATCGGGTGTGGACATGGCACCGATTGATCCGCACGTGTTATACTTTACTACACTTGATGGATTTTTTGGTCGGCATGACACCCGTATATCGGGAAGCGGGGGCTCTAGCGATCATAAGAATAGAAGCACCAGCAACTCGGATATGTACCAGCTCTCTGAGAAGAAGATCGGTGGATTTTCCCTCTGTCCCTCGCAGCCACACCTCTTTGCAACCGCTTCATTGGACCGTTTCATGCGGCTTTGGGATATCCGGAAACTATCCAAGAAGGACCCAACACCCGTTGGTGAGCATGAGAGCAAACTCTCCGTGTCGCATGCTGCGTTCAATAGTGCAGGCCAAGTTGCAACATCTTCATACGATAATACTATCAAAATACACGATTTTGGAAAGAAGGGATTCCAGTCATGGAATCCGGGTCACACTCTTGACGAGGATGACATGAATCCTACGACCACTATCAGACATAACTGTCAGACTGGACGATGGGTTACTATGTACGTCTCCATCACAATCCTGCTCTACCCAATATTCACATACAACCCTAGGCCAATTCCCTTCTATCTATTCACTTCAATACCCACATACCTGCTCTCCGTATACGTAAGATAATCATTCACTATATTTTCATCCACAAAACTAACCCAACCCATTTTTTTTTTTTAGCCTCAAACCCCAATGGCAAGCCTCTCCGCAATCCGGCATCCAACGCCTTTGCATCGGAAACATGAACCGCTTCGTGGACATTTACACCGCCACAGGCGATCAATTAGCACAACTTAGTGGTGAAGGGCTAATAACTGCCGTGCCCGCCGTTGCAGTATTCCATCCTACTCGAGATTGGGTTGTGGGTGGTACAGCAAGCGGGAAAGTTTGTTTGTGGATGTAACTGGGAACGAAGAAGAAAACACCTAGGTAGTCAAGACCGCTTGAAGGAGGTTAGGAGCAGAAGGAGAGCTGAGTGAAGTATAGTTCACCTAGCCGTTTTCCTGATGTGAACTGGGTAATATTCTTTTTTATTTTATTTTGGGTGTATACTCGGAGCTAGGGGGGGGGGGGGGGGGGGGGGGGGGAAAGGAAGCAACTTTCCATCTCAGGATGATTTTGATCAACCTTTGAAGCAAATAGATTTTGTGTTTTGGTTGGTTAATTTTATGATACAGAGCGCTCTATGTTCCCTATCCCATCCATCGAAACATCCATCCGTCTACACGACAATAACAGGGTGAGCCATGCTGCCCGGAAAGTCGTTTAATCGTCGTTGTATGTTGAAAAGGGCAAAACCACTCCGTATTCGGTGCTTGGGACCGATGGGTAATATAAGAAGCGCGATTAAATAGGTAGTTAACTAACTACTCTCCGTAGAATCTCACATGGCTTAGACCTCAGGTCAGGTTTCAAACCATGAACGATTTCACAGTCTAGTGTATATGCCCAGAGAGCAACAGAGTTCTACAATTCCTCAGGGCGCAGGGGATTCCAGAGGTAATAGCCGAATGACATCAAAATACTTGAAAACATGTACCAGCCAATGTAATAGAAATGGAATTTCGTTGAACAACTGAGAGAATGGGTCAACGATGGATAACAATATCCATCTCATGTAGCACAGTTCCAATCCTTCATGTGATCTCTGACCAGAACTCATCACTCCCATCCTGAGCTTCGTCATTGAGTCTCCGCTTCTTCGGGGGTAGCTGTGCAAGTTCAGGCCCAGAGGTAACAAAAGAGTGATCTAGTGATCTCTTCACATTTTGAGAATGAAGAGAGAAGTTATCACCTTCTGAAGTGGTATTAAGAGTGCTACTGTCGTCCTCACTGACTGCTACAGCTTCCGATCGAACAAGCCAAGGTGTTAGGATTGAAGCAATAAAGTTCTCGGGTCGCTTAACGTCAGGGGTAAGGCTCTGTGGGGGAGGTGTATCTTCTGTAAGATCGACAGCTGGAGATTTTAGAGGGCTGTTATCAATATTGTTTTCGTTAGTATTTTTGGATTCCAAGACGACAACCCCCAGTGGTAGCAGAGTGTTTTGTGTTGCTTCTGCTTTGGTGTCTAACGAGTCGTCTGATTCTCTGGTTGGTTCGGTGGTTGGTATCCCAGATTCCACCTTGGGCCTTTCCACAACAACTTGGAAGCCATTCGTGACCATGACGTTGTTCTCGTGCGCCTTTTTATCGTGATTTTTAACACATGCCTCTCTCATGACCAACCCCAACGCCAATGCAACCTGTCTTGCAACACTGTTTCCCACAATTTTCCACTGTTGGGCCGGAGAACCTATCAATACCTCATCATCAGGGAAGCCCTGGGCTCTTCGAACCTCCATCACCGTCATCACCCTATCTTCTTCCCAGTGAAGCCATCTTCCCGTAAATTTGCAAAACGGGGAAGGAAACGTGGTGACGGTCGGCATTAATAAGTGTGGATGAATGCGACTCCATGCCCTCTGGCCTTTGCGAAGCTTCCTCTTTTGGGTCTTTTCAAGGTCAATATACCCCCTAGCCACAGCTTCGAATAAACCTTGACACCTTGGAGTTTTGGGTACGGAACTCAGCAAGCGTTGATTGGCAGCGGATTCAGTTCTTATGGTTCGATGGTCGGGATAGGCAACAGGGGTTATTTTTCCTCTTCCGATACGAGGGAGATCCATGAGTGATTTGGAAACGGACAAGAAGTCAAAGACAGGGATATCCCAACGTCTTTTTCCAAAAGGTAAGCCATTGGGCGCATCGCCTAGAGATTTTTGGGTCGTCTTCGATAGGTGAGAATGAGTGAGCGGTGGATGTGCAGGAAGTTGTAATCCTGGCACCGCAATGAAAATGAAGAGCCTGGACCTGCTCTGCGGAGCCCCGAAACTCCAAGCGTCCAGGTTAAGAATTCTAAGCTGGTAGCCCATGCCAACAAATGCACATAGTAGCTGACACAATGGGTTTTTCTTATTTGACCTATTTGACATCATGATCACATTCTCCAGTATTGCATATTTCGGCCGAAAAAAATCGACGTATGAGGCCACTGACGCTATCATTGATGAATTGCGCATGGACACTTCATTCTCTTTACAGCTGTTCACGCTAGAATATCCTTGACATGGACTCCCAGCTGAGATGAACTCCACATCACCCAGCTTCGCAACAAGGTTATTATCTTCAGATTTTCCTTGGAAAGCTCGGAGAAGGAAATCATTGACGGAGCCCAAGAATAGTTTTACCCTTTCTGGGTCATGCTGATTTGCACGATACGTGAGCATGGGAGCGAGCTCCCATTCCACAGCCCACTCATTCCTAATTGCGCCTCCCTCTTCAAGACCCCTATCAAAGCTTCCTCCGCCACTAAATAAGTTGAGTGCGCGAAGCTTTTGAAAGGTGGCCTCCTCAGAATCAAAACCTTGTTTGAATCCCGCAGGAGGATGCTGTAGGGCTACCAGCTCAGAGCCCTCCTCGGCCTCTTGCGCAATTATGTAAAAAGCATCCCCAGTCCCGTCGCGGTTATATGGTGCGGGGATAGACCCATTCTGTCGTTGCTCCTCGGTATAGAATCTGACCTGGCATCGCCTCTCAATCTGATTTACATGGATAACATGGGTACGGTTCGTGTACACGAGCTCATTTGGTCGGTAAATAGTACTTTTAGCACCAACGTATTGGCTCCGGCGGAGGAGTAGTCGTATTTTAACTTGACAAGATTCCCCGAACTCTAGGATTTCAGCCGGCTCAAGATTCACTTGGTCAGGGTGAGACTCCTTGACACTTTCAAACAGGATGGTATCTCCAATTTCGAAATTTGGCGTTGTCGGTGGTTGTCGACATTGGCATGAAAAATGGTCTTTCTTCAAAGAAGTGAAAGTTTCATCGTCCGAGAGATACGTCTGTCGAACAAAAAAATCTGCCCCCTTCTCTGCTTTATGGGCAAAAAATGTGACATTGAGCTTCTTGACAATCTCACTGGTATCTACGACGCCATCCCCACAATTGCAGTGGTCGGAAAGAAAGAGCTCATTATTATGCGGATAGTTCATATCTCTGCATACGGTGTCTGAGGGTCGATAAAGCCAAATTAAACTTAAACGTGCGTGTTTAGTTTTGCCGGGGTGTATATCCTGCACAACAGCATACCACAAGTCCTCCGTGCCCTTCCAACAAGTTTGTTGGTCCCTTCGAATGGCAACAACATCCCTTGGGCAAGCTGTTACCATGGCGCCGTCAATAATAGGTTCCGTCTTCGTTTTAAACTTCCTCCCTTTCTGAATAAACCCCAGTTCTGCCAGTCGGGACTGGTGTTTCCCTGACATTTGGGAATCGAGCTCCACAGCATTAATATGGTTCGCCCATTCCATAGTTTTAAAGCATTCGTAAACATATGGTGTAACAATGGTCCCTTTCGCCCTTTGCGGTTGTTCTGGAATGAGGTTATCATACGTAACGCCAAGTTCATCCCAAATGGGATGATCGCAGTAACTCGAACCGAGTTCCCATGCTTGCTTCTGAAGAAAGTTCGAGAAAGCATTGATGGGTTTTCTGAAGTCGATGCTTCTATTTTCATTAAACCAGTGCATGAATGTCGGATCCTCGCTGTGAAGTTCTTTAAGCCAGGTGGAAAAGTCCTTCTTGAAATGACGAAAAGTGACTTTCTTGTGATGGTGGAGATAATCGATGAGGTGTTTTCCCAGGTCCGCAATCCAAGAGAATGTCTTGTGGTACTCCTTATATTCAGCTACGGGAGCTCCCAGTTGATACCATAGACGTTTGCCGGAAGCTTCACCGTAAGCCGACTGGATCCAAATGTCCTTTCCCACGCTGTGTTGCTCAGTATCTTCATATCCACCAATTGATACCAAGCGGAAGGGCACTCTCTCCAGGTACATGGACATGCCAGCCGTTTCCCTCCCGGGGACTTTCAGCACACCATCGAAAAAGAACTTCTCGGCCTGTCTGCCCAGTTTTCCAGCGATTTGATCCAGTGAAACCATACCATGAGGCGCTGGAGATGCAAAAGGGAGTGCATAGATCACGAAGTTGTCCAGCTCCAGACTAACAAAGTCATTCTCCGCATAGGTCTGTGTATCAACTCCTGATTTGAGCAATGTTTCTACTGCTTCCTTCTCAGTGAACTTGGGTTGTGGCGGTTCATGACCACTGTATGAAGACTTGGGGAAAGTCAATGGCGGTACCAAAATACCAACCATGCAATCTGGCGGCCCTCCATCGCTTTGGCTAAACTTGGAATGTTGTAGTTGTTCTGAATCTGTAGAGCTAACCATTTCACTACTACACTAAGGAGAAGAAAAAAGAAAAGTAGCTGAAGCCAAATGTCAGTTTTGCACATTTTCTGCTAGAGCAGGGTCACAAAAACATACATGCCAGCTTGTTACAGCTTTAAAACAAAGTCAAAAAGTGCAATTGAAGGGATTACGAACCGAGGCCGCTGGATCAAAAAGGAGTGTGGGTGCTAGAGACCGAAGGGTTTGCGAAGATGTGTTGAAGAAGTGGTGTGATCCATAACTATTCGTCGTGTCGATTTTCCTTCCAGACCCACTGACATCATCTGCTTTTCCTTTGCTGCAAAACTGCCAGCCAACCGCCAGCAGCGAAATAGCTAACAAGGCCTTCAACCGACAGCATTAACCTTCAGCATGGCCGCCATTCTGTCAACTTCCAACTCCACCGCCTGGTTAGCTTGCAGTTCAGCTCAATACTTGGGTGGATGTTTCGATATTAGCCAACCCGGCTAGGCGGAAATCGTAGCTTGCAAAACGACCCTGGCGTCTTGTGTCACTAACTAAACTACGTTCCGCATGGCGTTGAAGCGAAGTATCAGATCACCAAACATGCCATGCATCGAGGAATCTGTGAATTCCAAAAGAAAAGAGAGAAAATTGCAAGTCGCCATTAAGTACCAAGCAGAACCCAAGGGGACAACCGGTCATCAAACAAGTTAAATTTTATCGTCCTCCGTACCGCATACGGATACGAAATCTACCATGCGGTCAGATTTCCCCGTGAACACTATTAAACCCATAACCATCTCAAAATCATTTATGCAAGGGTTTGTGAGAATGGCCTGTAATTTATAACCGACGATGTGTGGTCAGTTATGTACTTCCCAGCTCCGGTAGAAACCAGCGGACTTTACCTCACGCTGCCCGGGCGACCATTCATGAAAAAAAACCCTCCTACGCAGCAGCTATCCCTTTGGGGAATATGCGATATATTATCCCCTAGTTTGGCCCAATTGCCAAAAAGCAACATGATTCAACTATATGTACATCCAGGCCATCCCTTTTCAGCCTAGAGTCAAGATCTCCTTGTTTCATCCTCTCCCATCCCTCACAAAATTACACAATACTCACAGTTCCCATAGAGGAACAAAAAATTACCACATGGAGATCTCTGAATGCATTTGAAGGCTTAAGAAAGGGAGGGGGGGGGGGGGGAAAGGGGCGCTCAACGAAGCTCGGCAAGTTGGCTTCCCCGAAGAAAAGAAATGAGACAAAATAATAGTTATTAAATATACTCTTTGCCTCGAATCAATATCTCCTACCGCAATGCATAGGCCACCCTATCGAGCCCTCCTTGCCTACAGTATATACATACGTACAGAAAGATCCACGCCCATAGCTACCACCATGCAATCATGCAAACAATCCCGGGTCGTTTCTCATCCTTCGTAGAACAGCATGTCTACGAATCATATTTCCCAATGACAGAAAAAATACTAGAAAACAAAAACCAAACTGTAACATACAATGCCCCACCATAGATAGATATAAAAGCCAGAGCCAAATAATACCAAACGGGAAAAAGATCATAATGAAAACCAACCTTCTTATCGTAGACATGAAAAAAGAAAACCACCAAAAGGAGTGCGTAAATAAAATCCCATCCCAAAATCACTTTAACTCGGGTATTCAACACCAGATGAATGCGCCTTGTCGCATTGGAAAAACGAGGACAGAGACCGGACAGGGGAAATCGCGTAGGAGGGGAGTCAGAACGCGCAGGGGCGAGAGAAAATAGAAGTGAAATTAAAAAGACCAAGTAACGAAACACGAACCCGGGTAACTTTCCAACAAGGGATACCAGGGACAGTTAGCCTATAATGAGCATGCTAGACCGTTAGATCGCACTGTAGGAGAGGTATGGGTGGTGCTGTGCCTGGAAAGAGGAAGCAATGTTAATTGTTATCTGTGGGGTTGAGAGTATGAGAGAAAAAGGGCACAAGGGAGATAGCGCGTAGGATAGGGATATAGAACAGTGGGTAGGTATCCGCCCGCCCAAGTTTAGAAAGGTAACGGATAATAGTAGGAGCCTGTAGTCATTGGATGAGTGTGAGAGTGTGATTGGCTCAGAAGGAAATAGGTTTGTCGAACGGATGAAGGGGGGAAGAAAAATGGGTTCTTGCTAGTGTGAGACATAAGAGTTGGAAGTTCCGACGAGATGTTTCTCGAACCTTTTAATAAAGACATGAAAGACAAGTAAAAAAGACATAAAGAGTGCCTAAGAGGGAGCAGGAAAGTATACAACACAAATGGGCTAGAAAAACTATCAAAATGGGTACAACTGTGATCCAACACAGGAAAGAAAGGGACATGAAGGGTGCAAAGATGGGAGATTAGATAATGTAGGAGTGAAGAAATCAGGAAAATAATATCCCATTAATTCGTAATGCATTTAAGGAAAACAAAGGAAATGGGAGAGAAAACAAAACGGAAAAGTAAACGCCCGCGTGTAAATATGATGATGAATTACCGCATAGCCATAAATTTTTCGCAGCTGGTGATAAATCGTCGTCCTTGCTCTTGCACCCCTTACTAATATCAGGCGTTGAAAAAGAATTCATCAAAATTCATTGCGTGGCCCAGCCTCCCTTGTATCTCTAGTCTGCGACCCAGATCCAGGCCCGGAAACAGACCCAGCAGACCCTTCCTTATCTTTCCCCTTACCCCTCCTCGAGAAATCGAAAAGTCGATATTTACTCGTCGGATCCCTGGACAAGCTGGCCTGTCTCCCCTTAGCATTTGCAGCCGTCTCTGGATACTCAAGCGAATACGTCGAAGAATTTTTCGAGCTTTCCGCGCTCTCACGGGGTTCCGCAAATTTCTGCGGATACTGGTGCTGCTGCAGTAGTTGCTGGTGAGAGGAAACTGAAGAGTAAAACGGGAGCCGACCATGTTCCCATGTCGCTGACGCGGAGCTTGACGGGGCATCATCATCCATATCGTCGCTTAGACTGACATCCGTAGACTGGTGTTGGAAAGGTGGTCGAGGAAAATAGCTCATCGAGTTCCGCTTACTGCTCGCTATAGTGGTTGAGCTGCCGCCAGGGGTTATTGCAGTTTCAATGCTGGGGGTTCCCGCCTTGCTGGAGCTTTCCTCGTAAAACGTCGAGGACTTCTCCATCTGCTCGACAAGCTCTTCCCACTTCAATTCCAGATTGCTGCTTGGCCGTTCTGCCTGTTCGGCTCTGTTCAGGCAATCCTTTGTACGTTGGTTCAGAGCCACGCAGAGTTGATGGAACTTGAGGAGAGTTGGATCGAGATCTTGAAGCTCGGTAAAATCCTTCGGCACTAGGTCGAGCCATAATTTTACGAGCATGGCAAAGCTTCTCGCATGGTCGATGAGGAATGGTAGGCTTGGGAAGCCCTCGCGCGAGGTGGAGGGTAGACGACCTAGGATCTGAATGGGCGTTGCATATGACGGGTTGACGATCTGGGTCGGGCGCTCAGCTGGTATGGAGCAGATCGAATCGACAAAATTTTTAAACTCAACCCGGTGAGAGATTAGGAATTTGTTCATTGGCTCCATCCAGGGTTCTTTGTTGCCAAAAGTCGTCATGTTAGCTAATCCTTGAAGTGCCTTAGCAATGAGAGTAAGGGTACGTTGAGCACGCGGTCGAGGGTGTTCTAGTAGCATATTAGCAGAGGAACATGAGGTATTAAAAGTGTACATGGCGAAGCCCCCAAGGCACAAACCTTTAAGCAGTCCAAACAGCTTAGGATTTAGAATTGCCGGACAAAAGAATCGCAAGAAAAGGAAACCGGAAACGGAACTATAGGTAACTGATCGGAGAAAGTCACCATACCGGTCTTCCGCACAGGCCCTGATATGTCGGAAAATATGTCTCAAATCCGGAGGACATCGTGAGGGGGAAGCAGCAATCGACGTCCACACGCTACTCGTCAAAATGATAAGATTCCTCCAATTCCGTTCCAGATCCTCAGACCGCTGTACCCTATTAGGATCAATTTCGCAATCCGGATCGCTCTCATCGATATCCCTAAGCTTTGAGCCAATCGTTTCCTCCAGATACTCCTGGCCCAGTCGACGCATATGCAAATCCAACGCCTTCGTTAAAAGCGAGTTGCCTCTGAAAAGCAAGTTCGCCTCGACAGTGGCTGATCTACCCAAGTCACGAACCAGGACTTCCCGCTCCTGTCCGGATTCATAGGAGTCATTTGAATGGATGCGGTTGGTGTATCTTAGCCGGCTAGTCGATGACTCTTTATGAATACCATCTATCTCGTCCTCGACCAGCGCCATGATCCACTCCCCAGCTTGACCTGACACTTGGAATATATCCAGGAGTGTTTCCGATAACGGTCGCAGCTCAGCGGGGACAACCTGAGCAAGATGGATTGTAAGACCATTCGGAAACGAATGTAAAAGTTCAGACATCGCTGCGTAGTCCTGCGACATCAGCACGACAGTTTCGTCAAGTTGGACCTTCATTAGCATTTCCCCAACCTGCTGATCCTTTTCGTCAAGAATAGGCCACCACTTCTCAACTCCTGCCGATGTATCTAGTTCTTCTAATCGCAAGTAGATTTTACCGTAGGTAGCGTCATGTGAAGCAACCTCAACGTCTCCAACTGTCATTGGATTGACTTCTCCTTGGTTGAGCGAATAAGGTCCATGGGTGACGAGTGTCCAATCCTTCTGCGCAGGGGTAGGTGACTTCACAATAAGTGATGCGCTAGACAGGACTGGCGGAAGATCGTGGAAGCTGAAATCTTCCCTCCAAAACGGCGTGGAGGTGGCAGATCTGACGGCAGTTTTGGCTCTTATTTCCCCATCAAGTAACACCTCAGCGTAATATTCACCAGAAACCGAGTTTTTATGCAAAAATTTCCCAGTACCTGATTGGTTTTTAACTATCTTTTTGTTCTTCGAGCTCTCATTTTCATCCTTGACAGCTGTTGAGGTCATCTTGGCCTCGATTACTCGAACTGTCAAGAGTCGTTCGATCCGGAACATGTCGGTGAGAGCCGTTGGGTGAGGTGAAGGTACAGATTGAGCTCGAGAAGTCTCGTCGTTCGCTGGAAGCTGCTCTGGACCGTAGAGCTCTGGTATTGTAAACGCTCTGAATAGAACAAACCAGACTTCGAAGAGAATGCGGAACTCGAAAGACAAGTATATGGGTCGAGATGTGACTTCAGCCCCGGCATGGGCAGTGTATTGCGGGTAGATGGCGATGCAGTATTCGTCTTCAAGAACGGAAGGGTCTAACTTTTGAATAGCACAACGAGAAAGTTGAGAGAGCTGCACAAAGTGAATAGGCGTAATATCCGTTTCCGGGAAAATTTTAACATGACCATTTTCTTGTAAAGAGCAGCTCACTCTTCGCCATGATGAAGATAACATCCTCTGCTGCTTGTATGTCGATATCCTTGCAGAAGATGTAGGGAGATAAACTCCGGCCGCACTAGACTTGTCCCAGAGAAGCATTTTCCCTACCTTGATTATAGCAGCATCTTTTTGCATGGTGCTTTCGGAATTTCTTCGACGGTCCGTACAGCGACGTTCACCAATCGTAAAATTCTGCGGTTTGGTCATCTTATCCTTTACACCCTTTGGTCGAATGGGCTGCCAACAGAGTAGGGCCGCGAGCCAAGAATCGAACGTTTCGTTGACTTGGGGGCGTAACTGAATGCCTAAGGTGGATGAATGTGTCGTCACGGTAAAATACGCGCTCTGGGTTTCCGAGTCGTACAGAGTCCGAACATGGCAGCCACGTAGATCTGGTATCAAGGTCTTTGCAAGCGCTGGTTCTCCTTTAGCTTGATAAATCAAGCTTCCAGTAGCGACATTGATGGCACAATACCCTGAAGTCCAAGGGCCCACAGGATCTGTGCGGAAATATAGAATTCCGTGCATTCTGCCGCAAGTTGTCTTCATTAATTGAAGTATTTTCGAAGAATCCGTGTTTATCAATGGGGAACCTAGTACGGCATCAATGCGGGAAATGTTCGACATTAACGACCCTCCTCCAAGAGGCGCCTTGATCAATTTCTGTTGTCGTTGGGTGGGTGACTGGATAATAGAGGGAAAGCCAATGGATCCAACAGAATCTTCTTGAGATTTGGTGCTTGGTGGTGAAGTCGTGTTGAGGGAGCCTAATCTGTTCCGCGTTCTTGAGAGGAAATTGGGAGATACCTCACTTCTCTGATCTTCCAGAGTCGTAGTCTTTGACCGTAACCTTCGACTTCTCTGTTCAGAAGGGATGTCATCCCCCTCGCCGGTAGAAGAGAAAGGGGTAGTGAAGTCTCGCTTGGGATCTGGAGGTTTACTGTGAATGGTTGTGCGGGGAGACGTTGTCTCGCTCCTGGCAAGGTACTCTGTGTTGGATATGGGGAAACTATTCGTTTGATCGGTCGGGGTGTCGGGGGTTACCGCTCGGATTGTAGCATCTTGAAAACTGTCAGGATACACAACCCCATGACGATCCCTAGAAGAGGAGTTTTTACTGAGCCTCCGTTCCACCGGGCGACTATAACTCTCCTGCCGGGCAGAGTTCCGCTTCAGCCCATTGCGACGCTCAGACTCCATATTTCCCGTAGTCCTCAACTACACTCCAGCGTCCGCACAGATATATCGGGGAGCAGAAGGCATGCACGGGCCCGAAGTGGGGAAGGGAAAGGAATGAAGAATGTCTCTGAAAATGGCGTACAGGCAGTTGGACAAGACACACAGAAAGTTCTGCAACTAGATAGGTAGGTCACGCAGACGTTAACAAACGGCTATTCTGGCGGCGAAGAAGTTGAAAACCCAGGTGCCTTCCTTTTCCACCCAGAGACAGAAAAATCTTTGAGTGACGAACCGAATAGTGGGACATCGATCGAATTGGGTGGAGATGGAGGAGGTGGTGGTTAGCAAGGCGAATGTCTTGGTCCTTGGCCACCAAGCTAATCCGATCGAGTCTTGCCCTAAGCCTGGGGAGCCTGTAGTTACTGACGCTGCAGGTTATCGAGGTAATCATTAGCATTTTAGGAGACAGGATGCACCATGAAATTTGTGGGTTCAATTGTAGGAGACGGGTTAAATACTGCATGAGAGAAGGCAAACCGGAAGGGCAAAAAGAAGACAAAGAGATGGACAAGGGACAAAAAAGATTTCGGCTGACACAAGATACGGGCAAGAAAAAGGTAGGAAAAAGGGTTTTTATTCTTCTTCATAATAAAAAAAATGAAGAAGAAAAACAACTTTAAAAAATTAAATTAAATTAAATTAAACTAAAAGAAAAAGGGGAGGAAAAATGGAGCATTCCATTTACCAACCTTCATCAATGTTCCTTGGATTGCCAATAAATGAAGATGCGCATTCTCCAGAGAAAAGTGAAGCTGCAGCAAATGAGTGGCTGGAATGGGATAGAACGGCAGGTAAAAGAGAGCCAAAGTCGTCACAGTAAAAGAATTGGAATAAAGAGTCGGGAAGAAGGAAAGTGAGATATGCGAAGTGGAATTAGTTTTGAAGAGAGGGGAGGGGGGGGAGGGGGGGAGGGGGGGGTGTGGGATTCTTTAGTTTTCCACTTTAACTAGTAACTTAACGCAATTTTTTAACGGGTCAGGAATAATAATGAGACCTCAAATATCCCAAAACACCCACACCACGGAACCAGGGAGGAGTGCATGAGGTGAGTGGGCAGCGCAGCCAGTCGGGATGCCACAGCGGGACCACCAATTGCCATAGACACAGGGCTGGGAGGGATGCGCTGGGCGGGAGTGGTGATGGTGGTGGTGGTGGTGGTTGGGTTGATCGGGGGAGGTTGAAGTTGTGGATAGGGATGTGGTTGGTTTGTTGCTACCGCCTACCAGTTTGCTGGGTGATTCAATTCCGAGGAAAAGAAGGTCGTGTGTATGGTGATACCGTATTGCCGCCGTGGCTGCCTTCTGGGGAAAGCGGTGAGTAATATTTACTAATGAAATCGATTTGGCATACCGCCGGTTGGTAAAACACCGGTATTCAACGTATGGTGGTCGCTGGTTGCTTGGACGCTGATATATACCTACGTAGGTAGGTAGTTACCTCTTGTTTGTATGTTTGTAATGTACTGTTTGCAGTATCTACTACTTAACACTCCCAGAGAGGAAGGGCTGATGCGAGTCTTGGCTTTGTGTTGTAAAAGTAAATGCAACATCTCAATCAAGATAGAAGTTAAACTTCTATGAAATTTTACTATGTACAAGCTGATTATCTTTAAGTGATTTTATTTTAAAGCTTTTAACCTAACATTTTTCGTTCTTTCTTTTTTTTACCATTTCTTCCTTCTCTTTAGGAGCCTGCAAAATCTGCGAACTTCAGATCATCCTTCCCATCAAAAAGCAGACTTCGAGAGCCCAAGATCAGTCAGAAAAACCCTCTTGCTGTGGATGTAATGTAAACCCTATGCAAGCCGTAAAGACCATCTTTGAATCCGCTGTGATGAAAACAGTGTCTCCATTTCTTGAAGAGCTTTCAGGCGCAGACAGAGAGGCTCTTTCAAGCGTTCCATTACAATGCCTCTTTCTGGTAAAAGCGCAATAAGATAAACAATTCAAACATGCCGGTCTAGTGGTGTATATATATATTCGCCTTTCAATTTCGCGGTTACGTTCGTTATTAGCGGTTAGATACAGCCATTTGACAACCTCGTGAGTTTTACTTTCGGAGACCCCCCACCCCTCCCCCGGCAACTCGAGGCAGATTTGCAAGGTCATGGAAGAACCAAATATTGGATTCCATTGGTAGAAAGACAAACAATTGAGATGGAAAAACACGCAAAATCCGAGACTTCAAATGGTGAAGGTCACTATGATTCACTTTGTAGGTAAATCAACCTCCTGAGCGTCAAATCCACAAGGTGTTAATAAAGCTTTGACTTAAACATGCCGCTCGGAAAGAGTATTAATGAGCGGGGAATGTGGGTCAACAAGGGGGTGGTTAGTTAACTAAAGTTGAACGACAGCGCTTGGCATTATTAGAGTTTTGATTTTCTTTAGGGGCTATTTAACCGATACCAACAAGTCAACTAGAGCAGACTCTTGAGGTTTTGTCCATTATTTATTCTGAAATCCCTTCTTTTTTAAAGACATATGAGGACACCAATCTCTTATTTCAAAATTTCAGTTGACATAAATTTCATTTTACACAAATATATATTCATAATTCATAATTCATCAAAAAGTGTCAAAGAAACAAATCATTTGAACTGGGAATTTGATGTCCTGTTTATATTCCCTTCAATTATATGAAGTCTCTGAATAGTATGTCATATCTGTAGCAGCAGGGCAGCAGGCGGTGAGTTGCTCCAACTGGGGACTACAGGAGGGTGATACTGGAGGGAAAAGTCTCCTTAATCGCTGCTGAATTCTCCAGGCGGTTTTTGGCCGCTCTCAATCCCTGACATGTCCCAAGGAGCCCCCTCTCGCGCCCATATTAGGCTGTGCCTTGAACAGTCCTCCAAAAGGTAAATGAATTAGCCCATGCGGAACATTTCAGATTACCCATTTTCCTTGAACGTGTGTGACCCTAGCTGTTGATTTTCATTTTCTTTTACCCCATCCCTCCCATGGAACCATCCACCCAAGCATTCGTCTCCCGAGAGCGCCCCAGAAATCTTGGGCGGGTCAGATGACTTGTCTACAGCCCGCATGCCCAGCCGAGTGGACCCGTGAGGCTAGTCAATGACAATCGGTTTATGCAAATCATCGATTTTCCAAATCCGAAATCCGGATGGAAACCTTGGAACCTTCCATTGTGTTTTCCAGAACGCGCTAGTCCCCTTGCGAACCGAGATCGAGATTGTATGCAAGAAACGGTAAGAAAATGGATAGCTATGGTTGGTCTTCCAAAGTCTCCCCCCCAGAGTCACCAAGGTGGAACCTGGCAGGCTGGCAACTCGCCTCGCCGTCTTCCCATCCCACCTGTAACCTAGCATATGAACTAGTTATATCATTGCTGATCCCAACGATTCACGACTCACGCCTTTCGATATTCCATATATGGTGTGTTCAAGCCCACAGCCACCATTGGTTCTTCGATACCGCTTTCTGTCCCCAGGCGCGGATGATGGCAACAATCATAATGAGCTGCTTCAAGCACGCAAACGATGCTCGTATGCACGGACATAACTAACTAGTTAACTAGTTCGTTAGTTTACACACCTCGTTACGTAACAAGCTGTCAACCTGCCAAGTGCAGCGCTGAGTAACTCCGTAACCATGGCGTTCCATGAAAAAAATTCACGATTTCTCCTTTTCCCCTGAGCCGCTGAGGGCGGAGCCCCCAACAATCCACAAATTTCACAGAACAAAGAAATCATGCCCGTATATACAGTCGTTAATCCCACTTCTCCGCTATCTTGTCCCGTCAGTATGGACAGGGGTTTCATTCGCGCGTCGAATTCTTCATCATAGCATATTTTTGGCAGTTTGCCTGCTGAGTTTGTTACATACATAGTTAACGAACCACATGTAGGCTTCTATCCCTGTCCGTAAGTGGTAAGCTAGTGTGGAATTAGTAGCTATGGAGCTGAGGAGTTTCAATCCTTTGAGACGCTGGGACTCTGGTGTTAAGTAATCGTTAGATCACCGAAGCGGAGATTAAGAACCAATAATCTATCCATTAGTGGTAGGCATTTGCAAAATTTTTTTTGGTGCTCAGCTGAAAGCCCAGGGCTGAGTTGAATGAACCAAATCCCATCTCGTATTGTATAATGTGTCTTCTAAATACCAGACAACATGGGCACGTAAGAGCGCATTGTAAATATCCATCTGCATACTTGGGTGTTTCGACTTAGCACTCCGTGTTCAAGAGCTAGGAAATGATCGTAATGAATTATGTAACTCAACTCAGAAAAAACGGGTCACTCCACTATTTGCTATCAGTGAAGCTGCCATGGAGAAAATCGATTATTCATGTGAGTTGAGCAATGGTAAACCCCATGCCCATAATGCAGAGCAACTCTAAAGAGCAATGCAGATGATGAAAAGAGCGCATAAACATTGATGCACTGGGGAAAGCAAAGATATGTTTTCTACATTGATATGTGCTGAAACCTGTAAATGCGGCAGTCCCATCGACGGCAGCTGACACAACCCTGGCATCACTGCTGCTATATATTATAACATAGAAGCAGTCCTATGTTGGATGGCTGACTGTTTTTGACAGCTAGCTTCTCTCCGTCAACCCAGGAGTCATGTGTGAAGAGATCGTTCGAGAAAATGTTTAGATAGTGTTCTCCAGACAGAGATTTCTAGAAGCGGGGGGCAAGATGCCCCGGTATCTCTACAATATCTGAACTAGCATGCTGAAGAAAAGGAGATTCGATTTATCCTCACCAATAGACGCGGCGGGAGCAGTTAACCGTGGCCAGCCTATGCCCTAATTCGCCTTGCTGTTCTGGACGATTGTCAACATAGAAGTGTATACATATATATATATATATATATACATATAAAAGAAATAGAGAATAAAGGAAAGGAACACACACAAAAGTATGAAAACATACGAAAGCTTTGACTCGCTGGTGGCCACCCACCCAGCTACTAACAGGCCAACAGGTGGCCTGAATACGGCTGAGCAGAAGGGATGCGCTGTTTTCCACTCCCTATGTCCATATGCGAAAAGAGAGGGTTTAAAATGGAAACATTAATCCTCTGGAGGCCAAAAAGTGAGGAGTCATAGGTGCCGCGTGCCCTGGATAGAATGACATCAATGGTACTTCACCACTTCTCTAGTGGGCTCTGGGCGTAAGTACAACGGGATATGAGCATGCTTTGTGCTCACACAGCCACCTTCAATAGTCTTGATGGTCCCCAGGGGGCGTTGATTGTTTGCACCTCCAAAAACCGCGCGACTGTTTTGGATGGAGTGAACATCCGTTTGCATGCGCAAGTGTGGCATCATTCATGGTTGAAATCTATGTCAAAATTTCGTCCACAAGAAGCGTTGAAACAACGAAAGGGACTAGTTTGAGCCAAAGGAAGGGTTAAGGCGGATATTACAGCAACGGGCACTTTCAGTTCCACCAAAAGAGATGACATGTGAACTTCATACTGTGGAATATATCACTTTTGGAGGCGGACACTCTGATAGGCTAAGAATTACACATCTAGAAGTTGGGAACTTGACAGGTGAGGATTATTTTAAGGTTAAATAGTAGTTAAACAGTTTCTGGTCGGGCCCGCGGGTTCCAAGGTTATTGCAGCGGCTTAGCGCCAATATTGATTATAATAACGTTATTTCAACAACCACACAAAATGTCCACCGTTTAAGTTACATAACTACCAGCTCCTCCATTTTTAGGTCAAACTAGGCTACCACTTTCCTTTCCTTTGCTCCTTGATGGCATGGGAAGACTTGAAAATGAGCAAGCAGAAAGAGAATACCCCGTCGCTGCAGGTATGCAAAATACTCTGCTATTATGAGAGTCTTTTCTGACATTTACAAAACAAGAACACTTTCAAATCTTACATTATTATGACAGGGAAATTGATTAGAAGAGGATTAGTTGGTGAAGTAGCCGCTTGTAAATTTTATCTCCGCCTTTGTTTTCATTTTCATTTTTCATATCTTTTCTATGCATGTGTCAAAAATAATGCAAAGATATAGATCTTGTATTCATTTCAATGATGCTTCACTATTTAAGTGATTTCGAGCTATCTGCTGATCTTCAGTGACTAGAGACAATATCATTCAGCGTGCTCTATAACCAACTCTAATTATCATGATGACAGATGACTTGTCATAATGGACATAATATTTTCAATTTGTCACATTCCCCGATATGAAATAAATATATCCTGGTAAAACTTGATCTTGCTGCAAGGAAGCGGTCCAACCTCCAGAGCCGTCTGGTGGTGGTCACATGATCCAACCCCAAGCTTCCAGTTAAACTAGTCAGCCCAAGTTAAGGTCATATGTCATCGCTCCAGTGCTCCAGTACCAAGTCCGCCCCGTCTTGCATCGACCCTGTGCAGAATTTCGCAGGCCTGCACGGAAGACAACCATCCGCTTTATTTAACTTCACTCTTGTAGCTGCGGGAGACATGAAAAGAATAGTATTTTCCTATCACCAACTGACTGCGTGGGAAAATCTCGAGTCCACTTGATTCCTTCGATCATGTCCTCAAACCTCATATCTCGATTCCTTTCCGCCAACAGCACCACCTCGCCCTCCATATATCAAACCATCCAACAGGACGACGAGAATTCAGACTTTTCTGATGTCGAGGAACGCTCAGGGTTGGCATTGGATGAGGAAAATTTTAGAGGTTCTTATCAAGACTATGAGTTGGAAGAAGCGTTAGCAACGGTCTCGGAGACACAGTCAACCACTCAGAGCACCCCGTTTCTCCAACGGGGTCCCCGCAAAACGTCTCAAGGGTTTCTTAACAAGCCCAAAACACCCAGAAAATCCAATCAACATAACTGGACACAGTCATCCCCGAGGGCTTTGGAAGACGACCGAGATGATGACGACGTTCCCGCCTCTTTGCTGGTGGAAGGAGACGGCGATGGTATTCGCACACACGGGCTCCTTTCCCCTCCCCCACTTCCTCCGCCAAATCGCAACATGCACGATAATGACGAACGGCTGCCGGGGCCCTCGACTCAAAAATATCGAAACCACTGGGATCGGGCGAGAGGACAGCAACCCCTCCATCCAATCCCCAAGCGTATAGCTTCCGTCGCAACTCGAGCAGGCGGCCAGCAACGTGGTCTTGCATTTGTTGACCCGAAGGAGAAGGCTATGTGGAGATGGGCAAATGTGGAGAATCTAGATAACTTTCTGGCAGATGTCTACGATTACTTCCTAGAGAACGGAATTAAATCTATAGTCCTAAGTAGAACATTACATCTTTTGTGAGTTGGGGCATTTATTTTCCATCCGATAGGGCTCATCATTTTGATGGAAAGAAAGAACTAACAGACAAGAAGGACCCTTGCATTCGTGGTTGGATTTACAGTCTTTCTAACCAGCTGTATCGATTATCGAAGTGTGCCCCATAGTAAAACCATGTCGGAGATCATGGTTCCCCAGTGCGTACAGAAAATGTCCGCATCCTCGACCTTCCTACTATGGCTGTTCTCCAGTTTCTGGATTTCCCAAGCCGTCAGCTACGTTCTCGACCTGCGACGGCTCTTTCATATGCACGATTTCTATCTTTACCTTCTTGGAGTTTCAGATACAGATATTCAAACCATATCATGGCAAGAAATTGTGAGTCGATTGATGGCACTGCGGGATTCGAATCCCTCAACGGCGGGAGCTGTGTCGGCGAAACATAGGAAATTTTTAGGCAGTCAATCAAAACAACGAATGGATGCTCATGATATTGCCAATCGTTTGATGCGGAAAGACAATTACCTTATCGCCCTTTTCAACAAAGATATCTTGGACCTGACACTTCCGATTCCATTCTTGAGAAACCGACAGCTTTTCTCAAAGACTCTAGAATGGAGCCTGCACCTGTGTATTTTAGATTATGTGTTCAACAAACAAGGTCAGGTCCGGACACTATTTCTCAAAGACACTCATCGAAAGGCTCTGAGCGACGGGCTGAAACGACGATTTGTCATAATCGGAATTATGAATATATTTATTGCCCCCTTTTCCCTTATCTATTGTATAATGCATTATTTCTTCCGCTATTTCAACGAATACCAAAAGAACCCTTCTCAGATTGGCTCCCGCCAATATACCCCGTTGGCAGAATGGAAATTTCGTGAATTCAATGAGCTGCAGCATTTATTTCAGCGTCGAATCAACATGTCATATCCGTTTGCCAGCAGATATATCGACCAGTTTCCGAAGGACAAGACAGCTCAATTAGGACGCTTCGTAGGCTTTATTGCGGGTGCACTAGCATCAGTTCTTGCCCTTGCTTCAGTCGTCGACCCGGAGCTTTTCCTTGGTTTCGAAATAACTCACGATCGAACTGTACTTTTCTACCTTGGTGTATTCGGAACAGTGTGGGCAGTTGCGCGAGGAATTGTACCTGAAGAGACCTTGGTCTTTGATCCCGAATATGCCCTTCGGGAAGTGATAGACTTTACCCACTATCAGCCAGCTCATTGGCAGGGGAAGCTACATAGCGACGAAGTTAAAACCGAGTTCGCTATGCTATACCAGATGAAGGTGATAATATTTCTCGAAGAACTCCTGAGCATGGTATTTATACCATTCGTATTATGGTTTAGCCTTCCAAAGTGCAGCGACCGCCTCATCGACTTTTTCCGCGAATTCACTGTACATGTGGACGGACTTGGTTATGTATGTTCATTTGCTGTTTTCGACTTTAAAAAAGGCACCAATATCATCCCCCAAAATCAAGATGCCCAGCCCGGGGGGACCAATGATGCGGGCCAACCAGATCTTCGAAATGATTATTTCTCAACCAAGGACGGGAAGATGTTGGCGTCATACTATGGCTTTTTGGATAACTATGCCAACAACCCGCGACCAGGTGCTCCATACGTCCACTCTCCAAATAGACACCGCTTCCACCCTCCACCCGCATTTCCTGGACTTGCATCGCCCATTCTAGTAGCAGAAGCAAATTACATTGGAACTGGTCGTCAGCACCGATGGGATCACCCACAACAACGTTCGGTCACCCGACCAACCTCAATGGGCGGCCACTTTGGCGGACACTCCATAATACCACGAACGCCCCGCTTCGGCGCCACAGCCGGCGTACATTACTCTCCCCCAACTTCAGTTCTCCTGGATCTGCATCACCAACCATCCACCACGGGCTTCCGCTCCATCAACCGAAACATTACCCACTCCCGGTACCGCCCGTCACGCCACGCTCATCTCATGACCGACACAATTCGAGATGAAGATGAACCACCGATGTCAGACCATGGAGATCCGGAGCTTAATAGACATGCTTCGCAAGTGACTACGGGATCTAGTGGCGCTGGTGCAGACGATAGTCGTATGGAGGAGTCTTGGAGGATGAATCTTGCTGATGAAGAGGGGCCCACGGATGAAGAAACGGAGAATGTTCAAGATGTCGTCAGGGGCGCGGGAGTGTTAGGTTTAATACACCAGTTCCAGAAGGTCAGCAATGACGGCCGTGGAGGCGCGGGAGTGGGCATTTGAGTGAAACTGAGTTCCGTCGTCATCAAATTTTGGCCGCTCTTCTTCCTGCAGATTCAAGAAACAGTGGAATGTTTGCCAAAGCCAGTCCACTAAACCGATATACCCCAACCTCCTCTCGACTACCAAACTCCTTTTTCCCTTCCCGCCACATTTTTTTTCTTTTTTTTCCTTTGAAATCCTAATGTCACACATCTACCTGAACCATTCCCGCGGCGATTGCATTTACCCCTTTCCAGTTACGTCCGTAGAGTCGGCGCTGATGTCAGTTTTATTTTGACTTTTTGTATGAACTTCAACCATACATATATGGAGATTTCGGTAGTGCCAGGAGTTATAGGAGTAAAGGGAGAGAGGGCTGTGGTTGTATTTTGTCATAGGAAGATTTATACTCTCATACCGAGTGTAGCTATGCGCAGGAATGTAACCATGGATGTCCAGGTCTGGGTTGCATGCTGTAACTAAGGTATCTTGCCTTCAGCGAATCGATCTGATTTCTTTTATCCAGAGCTCTGTTGTTTCCTAACACCAACTGGAGTTCTGTGACTGTAAATATAAAGCTAACCTTGAACTGGATAATGCCAATACTATTCAGGAGTTGGGAATCAAGCAACTAAACATAGGCAGTTTTAACGTCCCTACGTATTTGACACAACCTGGGCGCGCCTATGGGTAATGTTATTATAAAGATGAGCATTCTCATCTCCTTCGTATTACCAGAATTTAATTATTTAATGTATCTATACTCCGTATGTAGATTTTTTATTATTTTTATTTTTTCAGCTGTCTCAGCTTCACCCCTTTTTTGTTGGAATGTTTCCGCCTCTTCGCCCTTGCAACGTCTATATAGAATGACACTAACGGGGCTATTTAACTCAGCTTGGTCGTGCACAAACCTCCATCTCCAACCCTTCCATACCTACCTAACCTCCCAACCTCAAGCTCAAGCTCAAGTTCAAGCTCAAGCTCAAGCTGTTCTCGGACATCGTCTCCTATTTCGCGGCGTCATACTGAATGCTGCACCGGTGTGCAATGGGCTGACTCTGATAACGTGGCCCCAACTCCTATCGCTGTTTTGCGTGGTTCAGCAACGTCGATCGTGCAACCAATTCGCCTGGTGCAGGGCTGCATATCCACCCTTCACGTCCCCTTGTTCTTCTTAATTGGCATCTAAACTGGGTCACACACTATCTTTTCATTATGCTTCGTCTCCGCCGATACAGAGTTTTTGTGGTCTTCGCCACTATAAGCCTTGTCGTTCTCATTCATTTCTCTCGGGTCCGATATTGGACTTCAACCCCACCGCTCTCTAACAAATCCGCACAGCAGAAGATACCTCCTCCTCCTCCAGCGGCTTCTCCCACCAAACCGCCCCCGCTCATCTATACAAAAACAGCAGATGATGGTGCTGGCACTCATGGCTTCGCCCCAGAATCTACCACAACAACAGTCCGCAGTCGGATACCTGTGCCAGCCGCTACTACGCTATCCAATCTGCACCCAGGAGATAAGACATCCGTTTCTAATTCTCGGCAGACAGAGTCACCGAAATTAAATTCGCAGAAAACACGCCCTTCTCCGTTGGGGGAGGATGAGGTTGGACACCAGGGTGAGGGGAGGTTAGATGTTGATGGCTTCAACAGGGGTAATGATAGATGGGAGAAGCAACCTGAACATTTTCCCGTTCCTCCTGGGAAGCTCATCAAGCTACCTCAGGATCCCAAAAGGCTCCCCAAGGTTCAATTCGAATTTACCAATGAGTCTGAAGTTGCCAAAAGGGATCGCGAGTTGAAACTGGCTGCGGTTAAGGAGTCGTTCAACCATTCATGGACAAGTTATAGAGCATTGGCCTGGGGCCACGATGAGCTGCGTCCTGTTTATGGTAGATATCGTGATCCGTTTTCGGGATGGGGTGCTACTTTGGTAGATGCATTGGATACACTCTGGATTATGGACATGAAGGAGGAGTTTGATGAGGCCGTGGAAGCTGTAAAGAAGATTGATTTCGCTACAAGCACAAGGGACGATATCCCTCTGTTCGAAACGGTGATTCGTTACCTAGGTGGCCTCCTTGGTGCTTATGATATCTCTGGGGGGAAGTATCAGGTGCTGGTCGACAAGGCAATTGAGCTTGCAGAGATCCTGATGGGAGCTTTTGATACTCCTAATCGAATGCCTGTTACTTACTATTACTGGGCACCGTGAGTTGGTCATGCGTTTGACTTTTACGCAAATTCGAACCTTTATCAGCTAACTTGATATCCAGGGAATATGCGTCGCAACCACACCGTGCCAGTACTAGAGCTGTACTCGCGGAAATTGCCTCGTTATCACTTGAATTCACCCGATTGGCACAGATCACCGGGGAAGCTAAATACTACGATGCCATCGCACGAATCACAAACGAACTCGAAAAGTTCCAAGAGAAGACACAGCTACCAGGGCTATGGCCAACACTTATAGATGCCTCTGGCTGTAAAATGATTACAACACTTACACAGCAACCTGGTGAATTACCCGTCGATACAGTACCTCCTGTACTCCCCAAAGTGAGCTTGCCGGAGAGGCAAATCCAGAAGAGGGAAGAGATAGATCCTCTGTTTATTGATGCACAGCCTGCCGACTATAACGTAAAGCCTGGTTCGCATCCTCTGCCGAACGCCGTCTCCAAGTCCAGCTCGAGTGATGATTCGTCTCAGGGGAAGCCCGATATCCAGAGTAAAATTGATTGCGAACCCCAAGATCTCACATCCTCACCCAATTCGCCTGATCAGATATTTACACTTGGGGGTCTTGCGGACTCCGCCTATGAATACTTACTCAAAGAATATGCCCTGTTGGGTGGTGCCAACAATCAGTATCGCACTATGTACCAAAAGTCCATGGATACGATCAGGAAAAATCTTCTGTTCAGGCCCATGGTGCCAGACAAGCGGGATATTGTATTTGTTGCTTCTGCGTCGTCTAAGGAGCCTCCAGCTAAAAAGAGTGATTTTAAGTACAAGTACGAAGGGAGCCATTTGGCATGTTTTACCGGTGGCATGTTTGCACTTGGCGCAAAACTCTTCGGGATCCAAAGTGACATTGAGATTGCCTCTAAACTGACCGATAGTTGCGTTTGGGCATATGAGTCTACCTCCACAGGCATTATGCCGGAAAGCTTCGAGATGATAGCCTGTGAATCCCTAGAATCCTGCGAATGGAACCAAACAAGATATTACGATGTGCTGGATCCGTTCGCAGCGTACCGTAGAGCTCAACATGAGAAATCCGTTTCGCTGAAAGCACAACTCATTGTTGATGATACAAGCTCCAACAGCACTGGCGCTGAACCTGAGCCGCAAAGCGCGCAGCCTGCTCCACAACCCGCCGATGTGAAGAAGGTCGACGCGGACAAACTTGCCAAACGACAAGTTCCTGGTCCAGCACCGGCTGCAGCCCCCAGCTTGCGTCCCAGACCAGCTACAACGCCTTTGGACGGACCGGGGGAACCCAAATCTCTCTCTCATAAGGAATTCGCTGAGGAGGTCATCAAGGAGGAACGGCTTCCTCCCGGTTTCACCAGCATCTTGTCTCGGAAGTACATTCTTCGCCCAGAAGCAATCGAGTCTGTGTTCATCATGTACCGCGTTACGGGAGATAACTCTTGGAGAGAGAAAGGTTGGAAGATGTTTCAGGCCATCAAAAGCGCGACGAGAACGGAGCTCGCGAATTCTGCTATCAAGGATGTCACGAGCAAGGCGCCCATGTTCATGAATGAAATGGAGTCGTTCTGGTTTGCGGAGACGCTCAAGTATTGTTACTTGCTATTTAGTAATCCGGCGCTTGTTAGTTTGGATGAATATGTGCTGTTAGTTGATCAATCCCCTTTTTAGAACCATTCCTGATGATACTCTTGGGCTATTCTGAACTAACATGTTATTTTTCCTTCTCGCAGTAACACCGAAGCACATCCATTGAAACGTCCATTACCACAACAACATTAAGTTATCCGAGTTCTACTCTTTTCAGTTTTGGATTCGCAAATACGGTTGCAACGCAGGCTCTGGTTACTGATATCCCTTTTTTGGAGTCCAATGTACAAATATATATCTTTTCCGCACGTGTTTGAATCCTGTCTTCCCTGGACAGTGCGAACTTTTAACTTGCTCTTCATGCATTTTTACTTTTCATAACCTACTTGTAATTTCCCTTTTTCTCTCTTGGGATTACAGGTCTGTTAGATAAAACTGTTCATAATTTCACTTTTTTTTTCTAATGTTATTAGATTCGCGCATTCTCATTTTCTGGTTAGGATGTTTTCTTCCTTTAAAAATTATGATTGAGGGAGCAACGCAACCTGTTTAGGATACGATATCGGAGATACCTACGACATGTTTGAAGCATGCAACAACAATATCGCATCTCTTCTTAAAATATAGACATGTATGTTTGTAACTATCCCAAGGATTCTTATCCAACAATTTACACGTGTAGATACCCACTAGGGACGCAGCTATTCCCAGCTATGCCATTGTTGATAACTTACAACCACAGCGCCTTTTGTTGTTCTTTTTTTGCTGCAGTATGGTATCACCGAAACCAAATACGAGTCCATACCCACCTCTACGTGTATTTGGGTCGCATTGTGGCTGTGGTTAAGCAACATCGGTACCGTACAGATGGTATCAGTACCGTCACGGAGTTTTCCCTGATTAACCCAAAACCTACGTTAAACTTCCTTTCCCGCCCTGCTTCTTCTCGTCGTCGCCCCGAGAACCTCTCAAACTCCTCCGAAACTCAACCCTCCCAACCCACATACTCAGTCACTCCTTTCCCTTACACATTTATTCGTTTTTGTTTTTCGTCACTGCTTTCTTCAAAAGATATATATGCTTTTCTCCACATTCTAATCCGGTTCACCTCTTGTGCAAGCAAACGAACATGAACACGTCTTGAGTGAGAAGGGTTGTGCAAGAAGAGACAATCATCATTATTATACACGGAGAACACAGTATATATGTTATATGGATAAGGAATCAGGGAGCAATGACAGGGCCTAAGGATGGAACTCGAAGCGTCATACAACACCTCGGAGGATGAGAAGCTGTTTTGGGACGGTGAGTTTCAGCGCAAGCTCCTTGTCGTCTTCTGCATTTCGTACTTTTGTGACATGACATGCGGGGGACGGTGAGGGATATTGTCAGGTACCCCGAGCCGCAAACGGATATATATGCCCTGATTATTGTAGTTCCTTGCTGGTGGCTAGTTGAATCTCCATTGTTTCGGCTTCCTTTGTTTGGAGCACCTGTCTGACCGGGGGATTGAGTTGCAGGGTCACTTATTTTTAACTGTTCTAAAGTCAAGCTAATCTGTGAAAACTTTCGTTTCTATACAATGCAGGATTCGAAGCAATTTTCCATATGCCATGCGATTCGCACGCTGAGATTGATAATGTGCTCCGGGCTTATTTGCAGTTGACAACTCAGCACAAAGGTAGGTGTGTGCGGTATATATCCTACGAGGACGGATGGGTGGGATTGGTGGAAGAATTACTCTCATATTTTTACGATGAATGCTAGATTCGCGGTTTAATACGTTCTAACGTTCGCTCGAGCAGATACTCTATTTTACTCCAAAGATAAAATCTCCCAGTGCTCAGAGAGGCTCATTGCCTCGGAGCTCTTCATTGCCAATGCGGACTATATCCGAAGGCAGATAATATATTGTGTACTTCAGGTACGGGATGGATATACGTCTCTTAAAACTTTAATTTCCCCTTCCCGAGATAGGCATCGATGTGACTAATGGGTTTTTTTTTCTTTTTTTCTTTTCTGCCTTTGAATTTAGGATGATGCGCCTGACGTACTTTTCGTGACCGCCTCTTTTCTTCTCTTTGACGGTCGGCAGAATGAGCATACGTTCGAAATGATGAATATGGAGGGCGCGTTTGTGCGTTTGCTAGAGCTCATACAGTCTTCGGAGTTGCTCGACGGTGACGGTGGAGCTGGACTACACCAGCTGTTAATGAACTTGATTTATGAAATGTGCAGGATTCAGAGGATTAAATTCGAGGATCTAGGTGAGCGGGTTACTACGTGTTGCTTTGACGCAACGCTGGAATGGAACCAGCGGCTGCTCTCCAGATGACCTCCTTAAGGTGGTGGTCTCTCGAGCGCTTCTGGATATTTCCTGCCCCTCCCCCCTCCATCCTCGTTAATACGGGGTTAGCTTATTAAGTTGCAGTGTGTCTGATTTTTGAAATAGTACTTGTGGATGACGATTTTATAAAGCACTTATATGAAATTATCGAAAAGCTCTCGGACGATGCCCACGATCCCTACCACTATTCCGTGATTAGAGTGCTAGTAAGCTTGTTTTCCCTGATCAACTTTTATGAGGCTAATTAGAGTACTGACAACTCCTGTTTGTAGTTGGTTCTCAATGAGCAGTTTATGGTCTCAGCGCATGACCCTTTACCTGAACGATCATCGTCTGTCCCGCTCACTAATAAAGTTATCAAAATCCTCTCTACGTGCGGTTCCGCCTATAAAACTTTTGGAGAAAATATTATTCTCCTTCTTAATCGCGAAAGTATGTATAACAGAGCCCTTTGTTTTCATACCCAGATCAATTGTAGAAGTTTAACTTGTACATAGGCGAAACATCCCTTCAGTTACTGACACTGAAGCTCCTTTACCTTCTTTTTACCACCCCACCCACTTATGAATATTTCTACACGAATGACCTTCGAGTCCTAGTTGATATCTTAATTCGTAACCTTTTAGACCTTCCGGAGGAAGCTGCTGCACTTCGTCATACATACCTTCGCGTTCTCTATCCGTTGTTGGCTCACACCCAACTCAGATATCCGCCACATTATAAGCGAGAGGAGCTGAAAAAGCTTTTAGGGATTCTAGTCAGGGGCCAGTTCTCTACTGATACGGAGGAAACTGAGAGGATCCTCCATTTTGATGACGTTGACGAGACGACAAAGCGATTGGTGTTCCGATGTGGGCAGGTGGAATGGCTTAACGATCCCGACGAATCAAGACAACGTCAACCGCAAGATGCTACTGACCCTAGCATGTGGGGAAGCGTGGATGAAAGAAGCACGCCTAATACATCTCCGTCCGCTTCTCCAGAGCCAAACTCTCCTCACGTACTTATCAAGCGTCGTTCCTCCCAAATAATATCCAATGTTCATCATAAGCGACCGGAAAACGTAGGCATGAACTTAGAGACAGCTCGTTCCTCGTCAGCCAGCGTTGTAGAGGTCGCTGCCTATAAAGAAAAACCAGGTGTCAAAGTTCCCAGCCGAAAGGACGCCTTACAACGTCCGCCTGCGCCTCCACCCCCGAAACATAAACCAGAACCCCCTAAAACTAGACGCTGGCGCGGACGTTGTGGACAGCGGGAAGAAGATGAGTCCACCGGACGAAGTGTTGGGAGTGGAGATTTCTGCAGTTCAGGACAGATTCCCATGGATGAGAAGAGACCAGCACCCGACCGCAAGGCATCCGGATCTGCGCCACCCGCAACCACACCTACAGATTCTACATGTACATTTACGGATCTATCGCCAACACAAAGTGCCACACCTGAGCGCACCGTTCCAACAATAACCGTCCCCAAGCCGCCGGTGCGGCATCATTCTTCCAGCTCTATTCCCCCCGCCGTTCCGCCACCCCGCAGATCCTCCCATTCTGTCCCTCCACTTTGCCAGGTAGATAACCTTTCCATTCATCATCGCCGCCGCCAGCCCCCTCCACCACCTCTCCACCATCCACACGGCCACTCACGGAGTCACCACTCGCAGTCGCCATCTCCGAAGCAACCCAGGTCCTCCCCGGCAAGCATCCCAGGAGCGACCTCGAACGATCAGACCGCTCCGCAAAAGCCTGAACCACCAAAGACACGTCGATGGCGAGGCAAAAAGACGCAGCAAACAATTGATGGTAAAACGTCTGAAGAATCCCCAGCTAGTGGAATTGCAATCGCTTCTAATATTAATAATATTAATAACGGTCATAATAAAAGTAGCAGCATTTGCTGCGAACATCAGGGTGCTGTGGTGGTCTCCTTGCTTGGAGCCACGACTGCCAGTAATCAAAATAATATGGATACGGAGCGTACTCACGGGTTAGAGGATGGGATGGCTAAGATGAAATTGAGTGAGGGTGGATAAAGGAGTTTTGGGTTGTGTTGCCTTTTATTACATTGTTTGCATGGATTTTGGCTGCTGCATGCATACTAATGGGATGGTTTCCTCGCTCATTCATCGTGCTGTGGTTTTACGGAAGCCTCCTTTCTCTTTCTCAACGTGTCACCAGGAGTAAACGGACAGGGCTGTTTTTGCTCCTGTTCTCTGTACATTTGGATGATTATTATTATTATTATTACACTTTCTATTGCTTTGGTTTACTGAGCTGTCTCATTTTTTCAAATTCATATGGACTAGATTAGTTAATGAGTGACGGCCGTGACCGAAAGGGAGATTGGGTGGCGGATGTTGCGGTGAAGGATTGCCATGTTGAATGATAATGATGCTGTTATATGTAACTATACTTTGAGCAAAGCCCTTGCTATCATCTTGTTTGTTATCTGCAGAATCGCCATGTCCTTGGCCCTGGTTCTGTGCCTGTCTCCGTTTCGCAAACCGCCACGGATTGAATTTATGAGGGTCCTCGAAGACGCCGGTATCGTAGCAGGTAGGGAGGGAGAGAGAGAGAATGGAGACTGCTGGCGTCTCCCTCCCAAAGGGATCAATGGTTGACGCGCCTCGACTATTCCCATTTTCAATGGGGACAACGGGAGATTTTAAGATTATCAACTAGGACCTTGCGCACGATGAGGCGGTGACCAAAGCTGTGCGTGCGATTGGTTTCGCGCAGAACGCTGTCAATTAGAATTAGATCAGAGAGTGCAGCTTTTGACCAGCCATCTGTCTTTACAACCTTTTTTCATATCTTGAGATTCGACATGCGCCGTGCCAGCAGTGCCAGCAGATAATGATGGGATGGTATAACATTCCCTAGGAAGCACAGCTTCTATCTCTTCCCGGAGAAGAGCTATCGTGTTAAATTCTTCATCGGATGACACTCAGTGATGAGTGGTGATATTTCCAAATGGAATGAATCACTGGATGTCCTTTTCAACTATTCAAAGGAACAAAAAAAACACATACACAACGCGTTCCCAACAACTAAGCTGGCTAGAGCCCTCTGCGCAAACGCAAAAATGAGCTTCACCGTCTCCCACAGAGGAGGAGTTTCAGTCCACCCATTCCAGTTTGGAATCCGTCTCTCTACTGCAGCCCTCATTTCATCACCCAAAGGCCCCAGATAGTTATCAAGATTGCGATTTATGTTACGTGTCAGGGGGCGAAATCAGCCATGAATCCGTGAGGCATTTACGGCTGTCATAGCTGTCGCCAGCCCAGTCAATCTGACCTATCTCGCGGAATGACCCTCGCATGCTGAGGACATTATCTGTTAGAGTTACCAGCCAATGCAAGGTGCTCATAGGCCATATAACTTCAGCACGCTTTCCGATGCCTGGAATGAGGCACGGCTGGCCCTTTTTCAGGTACTTTATTTCTCAAATTATGAGATACATTAGTTATTGGATATTAGATATTATATCTATTCTGGCACACCTTTTTATATATATAATAAAAAGGGAGGCTGAATTGGAGAGGAGCAATATGCATGAAATAAACTATTAGTTATACAATACTCACAGCCTCATAAGCATCCCTGAACAGGCCCTCGCAATCCGTAAAATATGCCAGATGAGTTTTGAGATTGAATCGATCCATGGATGCTTTTGGGGGTGAGAAATTAATTCCTCATCTCCGCAGGCTTGTCGTACCCAAGTACCGACGCTAAGTTTAACGAGTCTATCATGACGTTCCACCATGAAGTTCCGTTGCTGCTGCTGCTGCTGCTGCTGCCGCTATGTTAGTAGAGAAGCAGGAAGCTCAATTGAGTAATTAACAGATAGATGAACTCAGCCTGTATTGGCAGTTCTTGATGCGAAGAATCTACCACCCGCCAGGAAACACAACACGGGGAAGAACCTCGAGATATGGGCTAGGAGTCAGTCAGCTTTTGCGATAGACACATAAAAGGTTAAAAAGAGGCGATTGGAACCTCAGTGATAACCTGAGTGCCAACCATGCCGAGGCATAAAACCACCAGTGTTTGAAAGGTTACATTAAAATTATGTGAAGAGAACAATTTATACTGTGGGGAAATTACAAAAAAATAATTATAAGCCCATGGTTCTACCTATGCTGTTCGGCAATACGACGTTCACTTGTTCTAACTTGGTTAAATATCAGTATATCCCACATAAACATCCCATTGTGCTGCTGCAACTATTTAGCATAGTTGTTGATCTCTCTCGTAATCCATTATTTATCGTGTCCCACACATAGCATGAAAACAAAAGAAAAAGGCAAATAAAACAATCATCACAGGGGAATCCAAACCAGTGAACCGAGGATAACTAAAATAGAAGCGGGTAAAAACAATAATTATAATAAAAATAAGTAAATATAAAATAAATAAAAAATACCGCAGAGAGGGAACATGCTAAAACTCATCACAGAATTCCCCAGAACTTTTCCGTCCCAAACGAATACTCATTATCCTTCTTCCAAGGATCATCGAAGGCGGAAAACAAAATCAAACCCGCCTCATCATCATTCCCAAAGGCATTCATCAAACTTTGGATCGCCTTCCGCTGGTTCTCCCTGGACGGGACGGCCTTCCCATTTGCCTTTCCGGCCTTAGGCCAGCCCGATTCGGTAATAACGGTCTTCTTATTCCCTCCAGCTGCAACTGAAACAAGCTTTGCTTGATTCTTAACAAACTCTCCCGCAGCGGATGCGTCAGTATTAGGATTGAAGAAGGCATGGCAGTTAGCAGCACAGTAATCGGACGCCCAGCAGAGTTCTGGGTTGTTGATGAGCGCTCCGAAAGTGTCGACGGTGACAACGGGACCCGTGTAGCCTGCCTGGCGCAGGGTCGAGCGGGCCTTGTCGACAGCCTGGACAACAGAGGCCACAGAGGCCTTGCCACCGTTAACGAGTTCGTTGCCGATAGAGACAGTGACGATTGATGACCAAGAGGATTTGGCGCCATCAATGAGCGTTTCCAAATCTTTGTCGAGATTGTTGATGTCAAAGACACCAGCAAAGACTTTCTTGTTGTGTTTCTTGGCGGCAGACATGATTTTGGGGACTTGCTCGCAGTCGACCCCATAGAAGCGGATAACGTTATAACTACCCATTTTAGAGATGTCCTGGTCGACTTCTTCCTCAGATTTACACCCGCCGTCACCTAGATAAGGGGAGTAAGACATCCCCAGTCCATTTTTGAGAGGGTGGTTTGAGGGTGGCTGTGCTGTTTTGTAGGTATCTTGCGACGACGAGGGTACTCTGTTAGCCGTGGCCTTTGATGGCTGTGGTTGTGGTGGATTTTTAGAAGCTGAGTTCACGCTACTAGGATCATTTGCATTGGCAGCGTATGGTTGGTCATCTTTCACATCAGCAGCAGCAAGATATGACGCCGAGGGGTCTGAATCTGGGTCAGGAAGTTGGCTTTTCTCGTTGAAATCGTGGTCTGAATTAAGACTCGATTGGGCTGTCTCCTGTGGAACACCGTATGTGGTTGATACCATAGTTATGGTTTGGGTACTGAATGGTTTCCCATCCCGGTCCATCCAGACAAGAACCTTAGGCACGTTGACGGTAACGTAGTTCGTCGGCGCCGCACGCCTTTCATTTTGAACTCGGTATGCTACCCCGAACGATATGAGCTTCCAATCGCATGCAAACGATTGACAACGGCAAGGGGAACTGCAATCGAGAGAACTTACGTTGCGGGCGGGCAGACGTCGCGCCCAGCAAAGAGAGCGTAGCAATGGTGAAGATACCAGTCTTCATTTTTGTAAAGCACTTTCGTGCGAAATGTTCAGTCAATGGATAGTGTTTTCCTTGATATCAGAGAGAAAGATGCTGCAAGGTCTATGTTAGTGAAGAACGGGTCAATCTCTTCGGCGGAAGTAAGCAGGCAAATATAAAAAACAATAGAATCGGTTTCGCATTTCCCATCCCGCAGTTTGAACCGGCAGGCTCATGCACGAGACGTAAAAACCCAAAAGCCGTCTCAAGTGAGAAGAGAAATCCGGGCACCACTATAAGCTAAAAATGGGGGTATTCCGGAAGAGAAGGAAGAGAGTTCTCACCAAAAAGTGTAAATTCTGAACACACGGGTTCGTATAGTATATTCTCAGAGCCAACTGCCCAAGGAGTGACGCAGGTACGTGAACCAGGGGTTATCTGTCTGCGATAGGCTTAGCCTCTATAATAGGATATCAAGGGTCCAAACAATCCCGGTATCTCACCTTGTAGTACGAAACAACTGCGGAAAGACTTGCAAACACCGGTGGTATAAGGACGGATTTATCCTGTTGCGGTGCTGCGCGCGCAAGAGGTGTGTTGAGTGATGTTAAAGGAATTGACAATGTCACAGCCAAATACAGAAGGGAGATGGCTTTTAACAGGGACACAGAAGAGAAGATTGTGTTGAAGATATTTCAAGCAGGCAGAACATGTAGATAGATGTAAAAAGAAATTGTCGCTGTGACAAAATGTGAAGTCAACAAGTCTTTTCCTGAGGAAGCAAAGGAGAGAAGCAGCTCTAAAGATATAATTGACTTCAGTTATCTCAAGAACCAGCTGAGCAACAAGTTATCAGGCAGGTCCACAAAAGGGACGAGTCAACAGGAAGAATGATACTAGCTGTCAAAAAAGAAATGAGTGTGGAATAAGTTGGGTTCACACAAAAGGGAATCACCAACAGCCAAACCAGAATGGCACGAAGAAATAAAAGGAGTGAGTAGGAGACGTTGAGTTCTTGACTAGACAGACAGGTGAGCAACGAACAGTTAACTACACCAGAAGAGCAGTGGAAAGTCCTGACACTTTCAGAACTGTCTCTCACCAACAAAGGAATGAATGAATTGAAATATAAGGACCGGCGATGACAGCGTACTAAACAGAGAGATCAGGTATGAACAAGGAGCAGAAACAAAACTGAGTAGGGATAGGAAGTTGGTTATCTTTTAACATTTTCGGTGGTGTGGAGCAGGCATTGGTATGCTCCGTAAGGTAGAGGTCAAAGCTTATTTGGTTAGGCTTAGGGTTGGGCCAGGCGTGGGAAGGCTGGCCCCGGGCGGCAAGTCGTTGGGCTGTTTGTTTGAAGGAAAAGAGCAGCAGTAGCCTATGGGAACCAAAGAAAGTATACAGACAAGAAATTAAAAGCATATCTCCGTGTCAGCAAGATAAAGCAAGAAAAGATTAGTAGAATTAGAAAAGATATAGAAATTCCCCATTTGAATTTGGACAATCTGGATGGTTTTTTTTTTTTCTTTTCTTTTTCCTTGGTTAATTTGATGGACTCGTCCGGCAGATCTGAACTGCATCTGTCAACGCCGGAATGTTGTCTTCTGTCTTCGGTTGTCAGAATTATTAATGTTGTTGAATAGTCAAATGAGCATCGCCGTCTCCGTCTCGCGCTTTTCTTTTCTCGATATGCTGTAGATATGCTGTCCAAATGCCCAGCGGCAAACATGACTTGGCCGATCAGTCAGCCAGCCAGCCAACCAACCATAACCACTTCTAGCACTCTTGGTCCGTGGGCTAACCATGGCGGCTGGCTGGAGCATAGAGGCAAGCAGTCCGTTTCTCTCTCCGCAACACATGGCGTTCGAAAACCGCTGTATCAGAATTTAGCCTAGAGCCAGACCAGCGAGGAGGAGCCCAGCGCATTATCTGATGCACTTGCTGGGGTTGAAAATACCTCAAACGTGGCTGGACCTTTTGGCTTTTCTAGGTCCCTCAGTTACCGCTTCCTGCATGTTTCTTAGTGCCCTGATTCTCACAATTTTTGATGGAAATAGGGCCCCCTAGAGAGCTCAAGTGTATCACGCCCGGAGGACCAGGAAACTGTAGAGCATTCCCAAGAGCCCGATCCAGTCCTGCGCTGAGGGGGTAAGAGATGTTCGTTCATCCACACCAACTTGAAATATGATTGGATAGCACATCGACACATTGCTTTGCAGAAGAAAATCGATTTCATGCATCAATTACAAAGTGATCTGGATTGAGTTTACGATGTTATGGCAGTTCGAAAATTAATTGGGTCTTGAAACGGCAGTGCAGCAGGCCGTTTCTCTCTCTTCTGTCCCATTGGGACATCACTTGTAAGTTAAAAGTCTGGAGTCAACACAAGTGGATAACGGGTCGACCGTCATGTCCAGCCAGCCGCGGCTGCAGTTGGGGTATTTTCGTTTCTTTGTCGTTGACGAGAGGTTTTGCGTTCAGCCATCGTTGTTTCGGGGGTTTATCAGATAGTGGAGGGGATAGGGAGCAAGGATTAATCCAGATAACAAAAGTGAGCCTGTGCAGTGTGAGTTGGAGCACATGAAGGGGCGATTATGAGGATCAAGCCTAAAGCGGAGGAAGCCCACAGATGTGTCAGTCCTGTTTGTAATGGGAACAATGTTGTAGTTGTTGTAGTAGTAGTAGTAGTAGTAGTAGTAGTAGTAGTAGTAGTAGTAGTAGTAGTAGTAGTAGTAGTAGTAGTAGTAGTAGTAGTAGTAGTTTGTTGTAGTTGGTTATTATTCGCTGCCACGGTTAATTGGTTCGATTAATCAAGAGTCAATTTCCCTGCTCCGCCGACACGTGACCATAACATGTACATTGCTCTTCAACTACGTAACGCTCTCGTTAAAATTTAAATAATTACAAACACTACAGCAGACAAAGAAAGAAATTATCATTGTAAATCAGGGTAACATACACATTAAGCAAAGACGTGTCCATTTCCAACCCAAACAGCCCATTTCGCCCACCAACTGCGCATTATTATTAACCGATAACAACTCATCCTTCTCGATGCATGCGCCCCATATGCAGGTACTAGATAGAGATAACTAACCCGATCCAAATTTGTTGCGACATACTCTGCACCAAGCACTCAACCCAATAGGAACACAAATCCGCTCCCTCTTGAATTCCCCATTCTCCTGTTTCAGTTGTTGACAGCCCCGGCACTCCCAACCACCTGATTGGACATACTCATCCAAAAAAAAAAAAAAAAAAAAAAAAAAAAAAAAAAAAAAATTAAGGCTATTTCCTTAGGTGAAAACCAATGGCTATCGTCCTATGATTTGGTTATGGTGCCAACTCACTCACCATCGTCTCCCGACACCGGCCTCAGATGAGATGAAACGACATCTGGGAAGGAAAAACGGGCGGAACCAAGATAGACGTGGAGTGTGCTAGCGACTGAGTGGCCACTGAGGTTGTTGCTTCACCCTACAGGTAGCAGAGTGGGTGTAAAGAATCAGTGTAAGAAGTTAAACACACGGAGTTTTGTGCATGAATAGTTATCACAGAATCTCGAGAAAGAGGGAAAGGTTCAAAAAGTAGCAAAGATAAGTTAAGCTAATCAGCAAAAACAGGGATAAAGTCACAACCCCACAGTGGCGTAATGGAAAGTAGCAGGCAACATAGAAAAAGTTGGAAGGAGAAGATGGTAGGTTAATATAATATTATTAAATAACGATATACGGGACTGAATGCAATCAACAAAGCGCACCCCTCTCTCTTCCTTTTCGAATACAAAATAGAAAGGGTGAAGACCAAAACCAAGTATACACAAGAGAAGGGAAGAAGAAGAAAAAAAATTAATTAAGAAAGTAAAGGCAGAATCCAAAAGCCCCAAGATCCCCACCAAACACCCGTCTTCAAATAAAAAAAATAAAAATAAAAATAAAGCCCACTCCGAGAGGGCGCAGCAACGGCATTTCATCGTCTTTGTCTTAGAACCTTCGTAATGGCATGTCGGATTATGGTGCCCGCTTTCTCGACCTCCTTCCGTGATAAGCCCGTTGTCAAACACACTTTTAGGGCTGGAGGTGCTGGAGATGCTATTTGTTTGGGAACCACGTCGTCCTCAACAGACTTCAGGCGTGTAATGAGGACGCCGTTGGCTAGGGCCTTGAGTGCAAATATTGGTTAGAGGAGACCTCACAATTAAAGCACAACACACCAAAATATAAATAAATAATAAATAGAGAAATAATTAACAATACATAATTAACAATAAACGATAAAGGAAACAAAATAAAATAAATAAACCCTAAAATTGACACAATGCACAAAGAGAGTGAGAACATACCTCATCAACAACATCCTGCAACACCGCCTCCTGTTCCTCAATGGAAAGACTCCTGGCCGCAACAACACTGGGCTTCAACACGAGGAACATAACCGGATTCTCTGGCACCGACGAGCAGTATACATGTTCACTTCTCTGATCCACCTGCGACCACATCACTTTGATATTCTCCCGCAGCTGAGAGATAAGGTCCGGATTATTCTGCAACATAGCCAATGATTCACTGGCCGTCGTAGCCAGCAGGGCGGGCAGCGCAGCGGAGAAACAATAGGCGCTGGCAGAGATGCGCTGATGGTGAACAATCTCTTCTGAGCCGGCACAGAAGCCACCACCAGCAATAAAAGGTCCGGCTAGAGACCCGACGATCATGTCGACTTCGGTAGCGTCGACGTTTTGATGTTCTGTGATTCCGCGGCCGGTACGTCCAAGGACGCCGAAGGAGGAGGTTTCATCGAGGATTAGACGGAATTTGTAGCGCAGTTTTAGTTCGATCTGTTAAGCGAATTAGTTGTTTGTTCTGGCGTTGATGGTACGGGAAAAAAAAAATAAAAAAAATAAAAAAAATAAAAAAAATAAAAAAAAATAGAGAGAAAGGGGGGGGAATAAAGACGAACAATTGCTGGCAAATCCACCATATCCCCCCGATTCTCAAAAATCGCTTCAGTAATAATAAACCGTCTAGTCAGTGGCTTTTTCGCCTGCTCCTTCGTAATCTTGCTCAATACCCGCTCTAAATCCTGCATGTCATTATGTTCATACCAGCGCACTGCGCTACGTGAAATCTGAATGCCCTTCCGAATCGCATAATTTACCCCTTTATCCGCAACAATGATATCCCCGCGCTTGGAGAAGGATGGGATAACACTGGATATCGTGGAAAACGCTTGCGAGTAGACAATACAAGCTGGCACACCCAGGGAGGCGGCTATATCCGCTTCCGTACGCATGTGGACATCCTGAGTTCCGTAGAACCCGGGAGGTCCGCAGGGGCCGACGCCGTAGGTGCGGAGTGTTTGTATGGCTTTCTCCTTCAGGGTCTCATTGGCTACAAAGTTGTAGAAATTGGAACATGCGAGATTAGTCACGGTGCGACCGTTTGTTAGTTTGGATTTGGGACCTGTTGCACTGTTTGTTTTGGAATCGAAACAACGTTAGTAGAACTGGATTTCACCAGGGTCTCACCCCAATTTTACGTTTTTAACTTCAATTGCGAACAGAGGAAATATAACATACCCAGTAAGCACAATGCGCTTCTCAACCTCAGACTCATCCAGAAGTGAAGGGGGGGGAACAAGCGGCTCGGGCGTCCAGTCCTCAACCAAATCGTCGATTTCCTATAGATTTCACCAATTCAGCTCCAGTTAGCTAAATTCATCTCTCAATTTGAACATCCCATAAAATTACCCATCTTCACTATCTCTCCATCTCTCTCCATCTCTCTCCATCCAATTCCACACCAATCCGGCCACCCGCCAGAGCCACAAAAAAAAAAAAAAAAAAAAAAAAAAAGGCGCAGAAAATGGCACATAAAGGAACCACCACTCACCTCCTCCGATAAAGGCACGAAATTCGGCTTAGTCGAATACTTAGGTGCAAGCAGGTACCTCACAGCGAAGAGAAACAGGAACAACTCGACAGCAGAGCGGACGGGGTCATTCTGATACGACGACTTGACATAGCGGAGGAAGATAGCGGAGCCCGGCACACGTTGGAATTGGTTGCTGAGTTCGTGGAGGTACTCGAGGACGAGGCGCTGGGTTTCGTGCAGATCCATCATGTCATGTTATTAGTTATTATTCATGAAATAATTCAGGGAGGGGAGAAGAGGGCGGGTCTGAAGAGGGGGTTAAGCGGCGGGCATGCGATGATCGAATTAGACAACAGGTATTAAAACAGAGGAGGGAGGGAAGAGGTGAGGAGGAGAGAGAGAGAGAGAGAGAGAGAGAGAGAGAGGAGGTGCTGTAGGTGAGAGACGCGAAGTGAGGTTTAATTGATTGATTCGCCTGGGAGGAGGGTATTAGAGAATATAAATAAGTCTGTGGTGACGAAGGTTGTTGGATGTTGCTTGAAGTTGTTGATTTGGAGTTGCTCCTTATCAGCTGTTTGAGGGATTAATTATCATTTTTGTTCTTTGTTCTGCGATTTGAGTCTTTTTGCAAAAGGTAAAGTCAGTCCCAACAAAAAATTGTAAAAGGGAAATTTCACGTGATTCAAGTACTTCGGGGGGGGGGGATTGAGACTCCCACGCTTCACATGCCTCACTCTAGCAGAGATGAAAATTGAAGAGATATTCCACATATAATACAAGAAAATGGAAATAACAAAAGAAGCTTATTTTCATCGAAACGTTTTCTCTAACTACATCTACAACAGAATTGATATTTAGTGAAAATATGAAGCTGATGCCTTTTAAAACCCTCAAAGTATGAGAAAAGTGGGAATGTGTATCATCATTAATAAATAGAGAGCTATGTAAAAGGAAAGCAAGAAAAAAAGAAAAGGAGAAATGAAATTAGAGAAGAAGAAAAGTAATAGAAAACACATTATAAAATGTCCCTCTTGATCAAAGTCAAGTCCAGCAAAAGTGAAGTCAACCACCCCATAGAAAAACACGAAAAGAAAAAGTAAAAACTAGAACTCCCTCCCTACATGCCAAGTCAGAAAACCCCGAGTGGGTATACGGAGTAATCGTTCTCTCTGTTATCAGTTTGTACAATACATTCGATTCGATTCGGCAGTTTCTCAAGGATCTTTGAGAGTTGTGTGTAATATAACGAAAGAAAAAAGGAAGAAAGAAAAAAGTTATTAGAGAAAGAAAAGTAAAAGAAGAACGCCTCAAAAATGCAATCACCCCTAACAATTTCAAACATTCGTCTTTCTCGAAACCCACCCCTCTATCAACACCTCTATCAACCCACTCTCTAATAGTCTTCCCCCAAACTAAAACAACCTCACAATCTCGCATGATCGGTCTTCTTTGCATCCGTGACATCCCGTAACGCCAACCCCGTCGGCTCAGAAGTAGTATCATTATTATTCAATCCAGTGGGCTGAAGCAGGTTCATCGGGATAGATTGCAATGGAGAGAGGAAGCGGCTCGCAACGATGGGCCCAACGATAAGCGCAAGGAAGATGACGAGCATAACAAAGTAGAGGATCGCGAAGCGGATGACTCTTCTCTTCCTCAATTTGGATTGTTTCATGGAGTAGATTGGTGGGCGGATTTGACGGCTGTTGTTGTTCAATATGATCAGTTAAAGGTTTGGTTGCAAGAGGGAGAAAGAAGTGGGGAGTGGGAAGTAGAACATACCTAGGCCTCAACCAAAACAGCATAACGGAATGTCCCTTATCCACATACGGGATACAGAGCGGCGGCAACATGAAAAACAAAAGCACATGTCCCAAAATGAAATCCGCAGAAAACATCCCCAATTCCGTAATCTTGCACAGAAACTCTCGACCGGGCTGAGACATCGAATGCCAACCCATGCTATACCATTTGCCCGTCCACCACGCAATGTTCGACGTATCCTGTCTAAACTCTCTCGTCAAAGCAAGGGAAATGATTAACTTGTAGATAAATCGCTGGATGGAAGTAACCGCAATCATCCCGAGAAGTGCTTTAGCAAACACCCATCCTTCAAGGAAGAACATGACTTCAAAGAAGGCCATAAGCATCACGACAGCAACACCATGGGCAATAGCAGCTAGTACAGAGCCGAATTTCTTGCAGCACATGCTCAATAGAGGACCCATACAGCAAGCCATCGCGAAGAGAACTGCAAGTAAGCCTGCGTTGACAGCTATGGGAGCGAAGGCAATAATTGCAAGTCGAATTATAGAGTTGGTAGGCTTTGCTTCATCTTCCTTAACACCAGTCTGCGCATTGATGAACAGATATGGAATCAAAGTAACAATAACGAGGACAAGGGGCCCAACAATCTCACTAAAAAAGATATTCGTGAATTGTGCCCGTGGGGCATCACCAGATAACTTCTCAGACGGCGAGCCAAGGACTTTGCGCTTATAACCCGTGATCCGAGTACGAGAAAGTCGGCAAAAGGCAATCCAGGAAGACGCGTGGGATCGGGAGTTGCCCCGAGAAAGCCAGCGGAGGTAGTCGCGGTAGTCGATGAAGAAATCATTCCAGGCAAATTGATGAGGATTGAACAAGAATGGCGAGATGCAAAGAGCAAGCAGAGAAGCCCAGAAGTAAAGCAACCATCCAGTCCAGACAGTTAGAGTTCCGAAGAGCAGCATCATCAGCAATCGAGAACCAAAGTAAATCGATGGGCCAGCGAAACGGGAGTAAAGAACACCAAATGGAATACGAGCAGTAGCAAACCCACGTCCAGTGCCGATATATCTTGCACCTCCAAATGACAGATTGTTATGCAGCGAGTTCGCATATATTTGGCAAACGAACACTTCGAAAAAAGGAGACAGGGATCCAAAGTGTTTCGCAAGACGGGTGATAGCACGCCAGGATCCGCGCTCCGTAAGTTCCTGAACAACAAGCGGCAAGAAGGAGAGCAAGAAGACGATACAGATCGAAGCAGTACAGCGCTGAACCCAATCTTGGATGGGTATTGTGTCCGCGCAACCCGTTGGCAAAATAGGATCGGTGATGGGAACTCCCTTCTTAACTATACAAGGAATAGTTTCATGCTTCAAAGCGCCGAGATTAATCAAGCAAATCATGAACATCTGGACCGAAAGCATAATAAACAAGTTGTTGATATGGAAACCCGGATGTGCGTAGTAGAAGGACAAGAAGCGATCGAGCGGCAATTGGGTGCCCAGGTAGTAATACTCTCGAGACAACATCTGTTCTCCCATACCAGTACCAATTTTAGTGGTAAAGTTGAGCACGGAGCCAAAGCCAAGATCACGACCTTTGCCGCATTGATAGTATTCGCAGTGCTTGATGCGACCACCACGGAGAAGCGCATTCATTCCAGCGTAGATATCCTCGTTAAGATGCAAACCCTTTTGTGCCTTGGAAACACCACCGCGAGTAGTCATGAAAACACCATTGAGGAAATCAGGATGACCATAATGAAGCTTGCCGCCTATTTGAGCCAAGGTACGGGCAAAGAGAGTACCGAAAGTCTGTTCCTTGCCCGCAGCAACGTCACCAAGCATGCCAATATTTTCCGAAAATATGTATTCACGAGCGCCAAGAATGGCCACGGGGTTGGTTTTCGACGGCGGGAGTCCAGGAACGTATGGTGAAACATTGTCAGTATTCATCTCTTCGAACTCGGCTAAAACACTACGAATCTTGAGGCATTCCTCTAAATAGTTGTCCTGGTTAGCATCGATGAGCTGGATATATTCGCCGCGGTAGAAAATAATCGCATGGTTCTGATTGTCAGATTTCCCATCTCCAAGAATTGGATTACCAGAGAGCTGGACTCTGAACTTGGGCCGTCGCAATCCATTTTCCATTATCTCAGAATGACCGTCAATCAGGGCAGAATACAGTCTCGGTTCCTCGCCCTCGTTTGCAGGTGGCTCCTCATCCAGGTATGAAATTTGAAGATCCGGGTAAGCTCTGAGCAAGAACTCAGTGTTCTCACGTTCCTCCTTGTTGAATTTCGCATACCGTTGCATAGAAACCACAATCCTAAACTTGCGACGAGCCATCCGTTCCAGTTCCCGTTCGAGCTTTTCTGAGTTTGCACCGAACATTTGAACAACCTCAGGATTTTCTACACGATACAGAAGCTTGATGGCACGGCTGTAGTTCATAAAACCAGAAATGGTACGGTACAGGGTTTGCGAACGAAGTGAAGCCCATATACGAGTGCGAAGAGTATATTCGGGAGCCGCAGACTTGAAACCAATGCAGTAGAAAGGCAGATCATCAATCTTGCTTTTCGCAGCGTCCTTTTCATTCTTCTCCTCTCCATTAAATTGAGATGTTTCGTCAGCCAAAATCTTCGTATCCTTGACAAAGCAGTCCCATTCGTGTGGGTGGAGTTGTTTGAGGTACTCAAGCAGCGTAACACGGGAGTAAGGCTCATCCTCACGAATGATCTCACGCAGGGACAGGAGAATCTTTTCGCTGTAGTGAGGAATGAGCACGGTAAATGTCGGCATATTGTCCACTGGCACTGGTTCGGGGATCGGAGTGGATAGCGATTGGGCAAAAAAGGAGATACGACGCTCGGCTTCGCTCTGAGTTGGGAAAAATTCGGTCTTGAAGGAATGGTCTTCCTGTGAGACAAAGAACGTAGGGGCCCGCAGTGTCCGTTTGCCTTCCTGTTCTGAGGGGACCTGGTGGTAGAGCAGTTTCTGGACATGATCGATAGCCAGCAGGTGTTCCCGATACATCGAAATAACAATTGCGTTCCAAACCTGCGATATGAGGACCTTGGGTTTATACTTGATTTCCATGTCGGTCGTAGCAAGAACTTTAGAGTAGATACGCTTGGGTAGGCGAGAGAAAATATTCCTCCAGGGCGTCCAGATAGATACACCGAGATAGAACGAGCGAGCAACAGAGAAGATGGCATTCAGAATAATGTACCACATGTAAGTATCAAGAAAGAACAAACTCAGGTCGGTGAAAAACATAAGACCAAGCAGAATCTTAGGCTGTTGTTTGCAGAGAACATCTCGCGAGGCCCCAAAAAGAGCATCACCAGCGCACTTGCTGATCCTCATTTGCGACAAGATTCGGATTGGATCACGGAAGGAAAGTGTGAGGAAGAAGTAAGACTCAGCAAGCTTAGCCCCGAAGACACAAACCCACAAGCCATATGACAT